AATACAGATTTTCTAGGGGTCAGGACCCAAATAAGTCACTATTTCAAAAGACTGAATGAGCTCTGATGGCGAGTTATTTAAAATGCTGAAAAGTAACACTGCCACTCCAAGTTACAACAGAAAATACTGCTGCAAAACAAACAGAAAACTAAGTAAACAAAATAAAATGCAAGGAAATGAGGTTAGGGTGAATCATATCCCAAGCCTTCCTAGGTTTTAGAAAATGTGAAACTAAATCCACTCCAAGTAATTCTGCAATCTGATATAGAAAGGGTTTAATTTTGGTTGAAAAGATCTAGTTATACATGGGGGTGACGGTCAGTGTACCAACAGCAATCAAAGCTTAACTATACCCAAGACTTTGCACTCAGCCCACAAAGAGTGTACCAAGAGCAATCACCTCGGGTGATTGGGGAAGCTGAGCTAGTGGCCCCTATAGGTCACCTACCACACAAAGCCACTCCATCAACACAGGGAGGCAACCAAAATGCGGAGACACAGAAGCATGTCACGAATGGGAGAGATAGAGGAAAGTAAACTACTGGATGACATAGTTCAGAATCACATTTATAAGGTTACTCAAGAATCTTCTAAAAACCGCTGAGAAACTTGAAGAGACAGACCTTCAAGGACCTTAATGAGAATACCAAAAAAATGGAAAAGGACCAGTTAGAAGTTAAGCATACACTGTCTAAAATAAAGAATATACAGAAACTCAACTGTAGATCAATGTACCACAAGAGTCAATTCAAAGATCTGGAATATGAAGAAACAAAAAATACCCAACCAGAGAGACAGAAAGAAAAAAGAATCCAAAAGTGTGAGGATTGGGTAAGGAGCCTCTGGGACGGCTTTAAGCATACCAACATCTGGATTTTTGGGGTGCCAGAATAAGAGAGAGAGCAGGATACTGAAGTCCTATTGAAAGACATAATGACAGAAAACTTTCCCTACCTGGTGAAAGAAATAGACTTATAAGTCCAGGAAGCACACAGAACCTCAAACAAGAGGAATCCAAAGAGGACGACACCAAGACACATCATAATTAAAATGCCAAGGGCAAAAGACAAAGAGAGAATCTTACAAGCAGCAAGAGAAAAACAGTTACTACCTACAGGGAGTACCCATACGACTGTCAGCTGATTTCTCAGCAGAAACTATGCTGGCTAGAAGGGAGTGGCAAGAAATATTCAAAGTGATGAACAGCAAGAACCTACAACCAAGATTACTCTACCCAGCAAAGCTATAATATCATTCAGAATTGAAGGTCAGATAAAGAGCTTCACAGACAAGAATAAACTAAAGGAGTTCATCACCACCAAACCAGGATTACATGAAATGCTGAAGGGTATTCTTTAAGAAGAGGAAGAAGAAGAAAAAGGTAAAGGTAAAAACTATGAACAACAAAAAGACATCAAATACATACCTACCAACAAATAAATCTAAAAATCAAGTGAATAAAAAATCTGAAGAACAAAATGGACTGGTGAATATAATAGGATCAGGGACATAGAAAGGGAGTGGACTGACAATTCTCAGGGGGAAGGAGGTCTGATGGTGTGGGAAGAGATTGGACAAACATCTTACACCTATGGATGAATACAGTGGCAGGGAGTAAAGACATGGGGTGGGGTAGAGAATCAGGTGGAGGGGAGCAAAGGGGGGGGGGGAGGAGAACACCTGTAATAATCTGAACAATAAAGATTATATAAAAAAGGAAAGAAAAAATATGAATAGTGATTTCAACACATTTATAGACAGAAGACAGAAAGTGGAGAGGAGGCCTAACTGGTTTGGCTCAGTGGATAGAGCTTCGGCCTGTGGACTGAGGGGTCCCAGGTTCGATTCCAGTCAAGGGCATGTACCTTGGTTGCTGGCACATCCCCCGTATGGGGTGTGCAGGAGGCAGCTAATCGGTGTTTCTCTCAGTTTAAAAAAATCAATAAAATATATATTTTTTAAAAATAAAATAATAATAATAATAAAAGAATAGATAAACTAATTTATAGTACCAGAGTAAAATAATGGTTACCTTCGGGAGAGGAAGGCATTCACGGGAGGACACAAAGGGAGTCTTCTGTGATGCGGGGAATGGGCTGTCTTTTGATCTGGGAGGTGGGTACATGGTTGTACACATATGCAAAAATTCGTCAAACAACTTACAATTTTGTGGACTTTGCTATATATAAGCTACAGCCCATTTCCATGGTATCTTCTGCTCCAGGTCCTTTCTTGTCTTGGGACTTGGTTCTTTCTCATTGCTGTCCATCTAGTACTGTATTGTATGGATGTACCACAATTTTCCTTTTTATTGGTGTAGGACATCTAAAAAAAAGTGTAAACATTTAATTTTTTTGATACTAAGTGCACATCTTATCCGCTCACTGGTAAATTGCTTACTAAAACATTAAGAAATAAACTCTGTTTGCAGCATTAGCCACCTTCTCCTTTAAGCATGAACAAACTGCTGGATCCGCATTTATTTGTTGCCAACCAAGGTTACTGCGCTAAACTCAATGGCAGAGTGGTAGGAATGAAAGTTTTTCCTCAGAAACAATATATCAGAGTAGAATAATGCTTGATTAAAATGACCCTTTATGAACCAATAAAATACTGTATTGAGAGGATTGGTCTATGATGAATGAACTTACATTGTTTCATAGAACTTTTGTGAATGGGAAAAAGAATGAAAACCAATCCAGGTGGGATAAAGAAGGCTAACTGTGATTCCATAACCTGATGGACACCAGATAACTATAAAATTCCAAACTCCACCTCTCTGCCTGCCAATACTACCAACTGCCTGGCACTGTGCTAAGCCCTTGATATGTATCCTCCCAATAATGCTATGGGGCAGTGGTCAGCAAACCGTGGCTCTCGAGCCACATACGGCTCCTTGGCCCCTTGAGTGTGGCTCTTCCACAAAGTACCACGGCCTGGGCGAGTCTATTTTGAAGAAGTGGCGTCAGAAGAGATTTAAGTGTAAAAAGTTTGGCTCTCAAAAGAAATTTCAATCGTTGTACTATTGCTATTTGGCTCTGTTGACTAATGAGTTTGCCGACCACTGCTAGGGGGGATGGTTCCATTATCTCTGTTTCACAGGCGAGGTGACTTAAATCTGCCTAAATAAGGTCACAAATATTTCCTCCTATGTTCTTTCCTGGAAGTTATAAAATTGTTAGGTTTCTCCATTGACATCTTCGATGCCTTTGAAGATCTTTGTTTATGGTGTGAGGGATGGATTCGCATAAGGAGAATAAGTGGAATCGCTCATTAAAAGTGAGCAGCCCAGCCGAAACCAGTTTGGCTCAGTGGTAGAAGGGTCCCAGGTTCGATTCAGGTCGAGGGCATGTACATTGGTTTCAGGCACATCCCCGGTGGGGAGTGTGCAGGAGGCAGCTGGTAGATGTTTCTCTCTCATCGTTTCTAGCTCTCGATCTCTCTCCCTTCCTCTCTGTAAAAAATCAATAAAATACATTTTTTTTAAAAAAAATAAAAATAAAAAAAAAGTGAGCAGCCCAGCCTGGGTGGGGGTTGAACATGGACCTCTGAACCAGGAGATCAGGGTACAGGCTCGGGTTGTGGGCTCCATCCCCAGTGGGGGGCATGCGGAGGCAGCAGACCCATGATCCTCTCTCATCATTGATGTTTCTCTCTCTCTCCCTCTCCTGTCCTCTTTGACATCATGAAATGAAATAATGAAGAAATAAAATAAGTGTAAGTGCAAAGGGTGGATGGAATGGGGGGAAGCGGGGAGAGAGACACATAAAGTCAAGGCATCGAGGGGAAGCAGCGGGAGAATTCTGAATAATCAACACTTAAGGTCCTCAGATAAGCAAATTAGTCCCTGGATGACGCCACCAGCGAGCGGCCGAGAGCATTTACAGTAAACACCCCCCATCCCCTGGCGTCTGAGCTTCTGGAGGAATTCCCCCTGTGGAAGCACCGGCGAGGCCTGAAGTCCCCTCGGGCGGGAGGAGCCGGGCCGCCGAAGCCGAGGGTGACCGAGGCTGGCGCCGCCACGCCCCCTGGGACTCTCCGAGTGTGGGCAGGGGACAAACCCGAGGAAATCAGGCCCCACGACCCGCCGGGGGTGCCCAGCGGGACCCTCAGCGGGAGACACTGGCGGCCTGGGGTGCCCAGCGGGACCCTCAGCGGGGAGGCGGGCGGCCTGGGGTGCCCAGCGGAACCCTCAGCGGGGAGGCGGGCGGCCTGGGGTGCCCAGCGGGACCCTCAGCGGGGAGGCGGGCGGCCTGGGGTGCCCAGCAGACCTCCCCAGCGGGGAGATCGGCGCTGAACGACAACAGAACAAAAGGCGGGAAAGGAACTGTGCCCTCGCAAAATCGGAAGGCCCCTCCTATCCCTCCTTCCCTCCTTTCCGTCCATCGTGTCCCGAGGAGCAGGGCTCCCTCACGTACCCTCTGCTCGGACAGCGATGCGGAACCACTGGTCTTGTCCCTCCTCAGAAGCCACGCTGGTGCCTCCGGACGGATTAACCTCCGCGGCCAGGCTGCGGGCGCGTCAGTCACCTCAGGTTTACACTTGAGCCTCCCGCCGCGCTCGGCGGCGCGGAAGCCGGCGCGCTGTCGTAAAGTGCCGTGAACGCGCCGGCGCTTTGCGGCACCGCAGGTAAAGCGAGCGGCGTGGGTCCCGGCTGGGCGCGAACTGAACGGCTGCCCCCGCGGAAAGGCTGCAGGTAGCACGTTGGGGAGCCCCGGGACCGACGCCGATCTTCCCGCCGGCTGGTTGCTGCTCTGTGTGGGGAGCAGGAGGAAAAGCGGGACAGGGCTGCTTAGGAACGCTGATTCCTGACCGATCCTTACTTAGGAGGCGGGAAGTCAGCTTCCCCAGCCTCCCTCCCTCCTTGGGACCCGCGGAGGCTCCAGGTGAGTGTTGGTTTTCCCCTTCGAGTGCTAGACGTCGGGGATCCTCGGGGGTAGCTAATGCCTGTCTTTCTTGTCCATTTGTCCTGCAGGCTCCCACCCACCCCGGACTTGGAAATGCTTTACCTGATCGGCCTGGGCCTGGGCGATGCCAAGGATATCACAGTCAAGGGCCTGGAAGTGGTGAGGCGCTGCAGCCGCGTGTACCTGGAGGCCTACACCTCGGTCCTGACCGTAGGGAAGGAAGCCCTGGTAGGTGCCAGCCCGCGGGGAAGATTGCAGGCCTGCAGCCGATTCCATGACAGCACCAAGCAGAACCGGATTTGCGCGTCTGCTTGTCAAAACAAACGCTTTCAAAGACTTCTGCGGCTCCTTAAGGGTTTGGGGAGAAAGGGATTGTACATCAGTCAAGTGACCTGGAGGGGAAAGGACGTTTTGTCTTACTGTGCAAGTCTAATGTTGCGGCCTTCTCCAGTAAATAGGAAGGGAGCGTTGTTTTCACTCCAGGGGATGGTTATCAGAATCCCTTATTTCATGAGATCACCAAGAAATCCTTTCTGAGTGGAGGGCTAGGGGGGGGGGGGGGGGGCGGATCCAGCGTTCATGAGTTGGCTACTTATTCAGAAACCACGCTGAGAGCCTCCCCCTCCAAGTATTTCCATAGGGATGGTGATTGCCCATCTGCCTGTGTCTATCCAGAGAGGTCTTACCTTTAAATAGACAGCTCCCAGTTAGGCTTGTACCCAAACACCGCCTGTATGTGTTACGTGATCCCGGTGTAGTAGCCACGGCGTTTGTTGGTGTATCATATGTTATAGCTGGCTGTCATTGAGGACCCATTGAATTTTGGAGGAGGGAGTAAGTTTAGGTTCATCGTCAAACTCCAAGTGCAATGTAAACTAAGATGCAAAGGATCGATGAGCAGGTTATAGGAGGAAGGAGGGAATTTTACAATTGCCTAGTCTAGCAACTCTTCCAAACGAAAAGGTGCCCTAGAAAAATTCAGGTCTTCTGTCCTCTCAACGTCACAGCCGAACAGCCAGCGTCATTTCTATGTTCTCTAGTATTCAAGGTTAAACTAGAGATGGCGAGTCTAATTTTGGTGTATACATCTTGAATTTCTTTTGGCAATTTCTGTGGATAATTACATGCCTTTGGTATAATGTACCTGTGTGCACGATACAGGGACCTACACTATGATGTTTGTTGGCAAGTGACTCGTGATATATCTGTATTGTACCCAGGAGGACATCCATACTAATGGACAATTTAAGAAGTGGGAGGGGGAAACTATAAAATTATATTGCTGGAAAAAACTTACATGATCTTATTTAAGTCCACATTCTCACTTTTGCCAAACAGGTAGTAGAAGCTGTCTCACGTTAAATAACTAACTGATTAGTCATTACAATTGGGATAGGTGTTGCTCCATGCTGGGATGGTCAGGGCATATAATGGAATAGGTGGGATTTGAGCTTTGTTTCAAAACAATGCATTCCTAGTCTTTTTGCTGAGTTTTGTTTCTTTTAGTCACATTTGTCTCGTGGTCCAAATAGAAAATGGTCATATTTATGCAGCTCTGCAGGGCAAATGGAGGAAGCAGTGCCTCCGTCCTCCTGGCCAAAGGGGACTAACTTCGGGGCCCCAGCTCCCTGCAGAGAATGCCACCGGCCTGTGCCCCATTTGGTGCCAGTGAAGCTGTGCAGTCAGCTAAGGTCCTGTGCCCCAGGCAGTCAGTCACGTGGCTTCTCTGTGCTCTTCTTCTGATCTGTAAAGGGGATGGAAACATAGTGCCTGCCTCCTATTCTGGTAAAGACTCAATGAGCTCCTGTACTACGTAAGTTTTCAGAACAGTGCCTGAGCACAGAGCCCAATGTCAGTGAATTAGTACACATGTGTTATTGTAGATACGATTTAACAAGGGGATGAATGAGAGCATTTCTTTTTTTTCTTTTTTTTATAATATATTTTATTGATTTTTTTACAGAGAGGAGGGGAGAGGGATAGAGAGTTAGAAGCATCGACGAGAGAGAAACATCGATCAGCTGCCTCCTGCATACTCCCCACTGGGGATGTGTCCGCACCTGAGGTACATGCCCTTGACTGGAATCGAACCTGGGGGACCCTTGAGTCCACTGGCTGATGCTTTATCCACTGAGCCAAACCAGTCAGGGCAAGAGCATTTCTTGCTGAAGAAAATATAACTGTGAGCCAGAGCGTGGGGGAGAAAGCTCACGGTTACCTATATTTGTGCTTGGGCATAACTAAAATATCTCCGTTTCTTCCCGGTGTACCTGTTCCCTCTCTCCCTTCCTAACCCACTTCCCCGGACACCAGCACCCTCTCTCCTGGTTCTGTCCAAAGCTGTGGGTGGATCTTGGAGGGACAGCGGAAAGGACAGTGAAGGACTTGGCACTGAGAAAACTGTGGCCATCAGCTGTGACCTCTATTCCCTTCTTCCCCCCATCTGTCCTTACCCGAAATCTGAATCTTAGAAAATGACTTAAAAGGTGAGGATCTGGTCCCTGCTCAAGAGTCACTCCATCTAGATGTGTGTGGTGAAGGCAAAAATAAAACCATCATGGTCACTGGGAACCTCTGGAACATTCTCTCTAAGAATCGCAGAGGAGAGGATCTTCCTTTTACGTTGGAGAAACAATTCCTAATTAAACATTAGGAACACTTATCCATCCCTCGTGGACCGATAGCCTTCATCTCCAGATGCTGACTCATTTGTCCATATAGTCAGCTGCTTGGCAGGTCAGTGAGAACCAGACACTCCTTCACTGCAGCAATCCTTACAATGTGGGACTCAGCATATAATCCTTGTGATCCTAGCAAACGTTATCCGTACGTCAGGAATAGTATTGCTTAGCTACGCCTCCTCTCTCACTGCATTTGGACCACACGTCACTGCCCAAAAGTCTGTTAGGAGACTCCTGACCTTGCGGGTAGCTGTAGCCACTGCCCGACCACCAGCACAGCAGGCCTTCTCCGCGCCCGCACGCTGTCCTCCAGGGAAGGTCGGGTCCGGGGTCCCTTCTCCTGAGTTGACATCTGGGGATACACTCCCAGAGCTCTTTGAATGGAGGCTTCCTGGACGTTCCAGAGTTCTCTTTTCCCCTGCCTCTCTTCTTTCTTGGCAGTAACTAGGACATGGCGTTTTAAATTAGTCTTTCCCGCAATTAGATAGGAATGTTTGCTGCTCCTGTAAACAACTAAACCTTCGTTTTCTTTCATTTGTCATCGGTGTGACCTTTTAAGCCAAAGTCTCCTAGATTTTCCCGTGGAAAATTCAACAAAACCCAAACTCCCATGTATGTTTATAATTATTGTTTCATACGCTTGTTCTGTGTTATTGTGTCTCCGAAGGAAGGCTCAGGCATACACACAGATTCCCTGTTTACCCTACAATGCTCTGCCTGGTTTACTGGATCCAAAAGTTAGAGGTAGATTTAAGATGCAAAAAGCCTCAGATGTCAGGTCTGCCTCCTCTTGGGATATGAAGAGAGCCCCCAAGACAGAGTTTAATTACAACATGATCTAGACTGCGAGCTCAGTGATGAATTTGTATCAAATGGTCTGTTTGGTTAACTGCCAAAGTCACCCACACCAAGCCCAGACAAAGATTGGTGCACGTGTGTAAAAATGATCCCCTGCCGTCTCATTTTGATCCTGGACTTGCATTCACAGGAAGAGTTCTACGGAAGGAAATTGATTCTCGCTGACAGAGAAGAAGTGGAGCAAGAAGCCGATAATATTTTAAAGGATGCTGATGTCAGCGATGTCGCGTTCCTTGTGGTTGGTGATCCATTTGGGTAAGTGAAAGCAGGTATTCGCATTTTAATTGCATTTCCTTCTTTTTTTAAGTTATTTTTTTTAATCAATAAGAATCATTCTGTTACATTGAAAACCTTTTACCTGCCAGGTTTTGATGGGGGATGCTGTTTGCATGAGCTCTGTCTAAAAACGTGTAGTTTGAACTTCGTCGTCTTCGATGTTAATGAAGAAGAGGTGCTTGGGAGGGGCGTGCTCCTATGCAGAGGGGTGTGTACCGTTGCTTCTGCTGTTCTTGAGGCGGTCACTTAGAGCAGTGACGGAGCTAGTCTATCACACTTAAGTAAGCGTGTTACCTGCCATTTGTTTCACGTGTTATCCAGCGTCCTACCTGCCATTTGTTTCACAGGTAAATTGCAAGCATCTCTGCTTCCTTTTGCCTAGGCCTTTTCCTGTCTAACCATCTCATCCTTCACAATATTGCTGTCCCTTTACTTGCCTCGAATTCAGCATCTGTCAAGCTCAGGTTGCAATTTCTCATGCCCAGTCCCCTCCTCAGGATTTAAGAGGTTGGGCTTCCCCTTGTCTGTCGGGCATCATCCATCTCTGATGTCACGCGGGACAGAAGAGTTCTTTGTCTCCAGCTGGTGACCCGAGATTTATGTCGCATGTTTAAGGAACATCAGGATAATCTAATCACTGTGAGCCCACCACCAAGGATGTTTTTCAGAAGAATGGAATGATGGTGTGCACGTGTCTGTTAGAAAGAAAGTGATTGATAGCCATATGACGTGGCAGGGGTTGGGTATCATTATTAGACTTGGGTCCTATCAAACGTACCATACAGCAGCATCGGCTGTCGTCACCCCCAGTTTCTGGTTAGTAGAACAGTAGGTTCTCTGAGACCCTGCTCATGTGCCATCTCTTCCATGAACCCTCCCTTATTTCATTCAGAAGCAAGTGCCCCTCTCTTTTTTTTTGGATTCTCAGGCAATTGTTTGTCCCGTGTCAGTGACTGACCAGGTATAATCCTGTATTCCGGTTTATGTAATAATTGCTGCACTCTGGTTATTTTTTATTCACCCACTGGATGACTATTGGGATATAATAGTTGAGGATACAGTAGTTGGAGACAGGATGGGAGAGGATGTGTAAAATTTACTTGGGCCTTGAAGAATTAGCATATGGGCAGATGTTATGGGCAAACCAGGAAGGGAATACAGAATGCAGCAAGGCACTGCAATGCTTCTTTGTGGATGACAGCAGGAAACGTGTCCTTTGTTTATATTTTAAGGCCCTTTCCCCTTATTTGGTTAAAAAAATTTTTAAAGGCAAAATTGTACAATCTTAAATTCTTTTTAAAATATTTCTAAGCTGTAGTAAAGTAATCTCTACACTAATCAAAGAGAAATATGCAAATTGACCGTACCTTCGTGACACCCACCAGCCAACCAGGAGTGGGTAAGCAAATTAACCCAACAAAGATGGCGGGTTGTAATTTGCATATGCAGGCACCTCGTGGTTGGGGGTGGGATGCTTGCATCATTGCCATGGTGATGACACAGGCTTTCTGCACCGCCCCAGCCACTCTGGGCAGTGTGGGAAGGTGGAAAGGCAGCTCTGGGCTGGAGCGAAGGCAGTGTTGGCAGCCAGGGAAAGGAAGGCCCATTCTTGCATGAATCTTCATGCATAGGGCCTCTGGTATAACATAAATGATCACATGGTTATTTTATCCTTATGTGGATGCCTTTTCCCTCATGATGTACACATGCAAAAATACACCTTTCTTCACCCGTTTCTGGGTACCCTCCAGTAGGTCATTGGGGTGTTTTCACCTCATGTGATGCATTTGTTGGGCACCTCCTAACTGTCTAGTAAGCGTCCACATTGTTATCATTAGCCCATTTGTTTCTTCAGTGTAATTAAGCCTGCCTCATGGGGATTAATGTATACGATTCTTCTCTCCTCTCACTTTCCCATCCCCACTCGTTAGATTGTTTTCTTCTGGTAGACTAGAGGGCTGATGCACGAAATCCGTGCAAGGAGGTTGGCCCTTGCAACCTCGGCGGCTTGCCTCAGCCCTCACAGTCCCGGCTTCACCTGAAAGGTTGTCTTGAAGGTCGTCCAGAAGGTCGTTCAGCTGTCCAGTCTAATTAGCATATTACACTTTTATTATTATAGATTCTCTAAAGTAGGTTTAAAATACCAAGGGAAAAAAAAAAACAGTCAAAAGTTTCAAACATTGACGTTATCTTGTCAAATTTGTTTTCCAAAGGATGGTGCCAGTTTATAGCTTCCAGTAGTTCAGGAGAGTATCATTTTTACCAGGTCATTGCAAATATTAGTGAATTTCCAGGTCTCCAACCATACTTCTACCAAACATGGCAGTACAATGTCTGCAAACTAATGTTCCCATCAAGTAAAATTTACCAGAAGCACACCAAGTGCTACACATTCAAATTGGTCACTGTGATATTTGTTATTTTATTGATGCCATTGATCGAAACATTCTTGGATCTCCTCTTAAACTTGCCTTCTTAGCAATTCCAAGGAACAAACATATGAAGACACATTTATTACCACTTATGGGCATGAGACTATCCATAGTCCTGTGTGTGTGTGTGAGTAAGATTGTGACAGAACCACGTGCCCATAAATAGTAATGTTTTCTTTGCATGTGCGCACACACACGCGCGCACACACACACTTTTCCAGCCACCATAAATGAAGCATTTTCCCGAGCCCTGGCATGGAAGGAGTGCTCAGTATACTGGTTCAAGGCTGTGTCTCAAACCAGTTTTGTTTTTTTTTTCCTTCTCATGAAAGCAATATAACCTAGATAATTGTGATGATAAAATACCAGTTATCGTCACATTTTTATAGCGGAAATCTGGGGGGCTTATTTAATCACATTCATGTCAGTTCCACAGAATCAAAACCCTTTGCCAGGTCATTAGTCTTCTAGCATCCCAACCGCATCTGGTCATTTTAAATGAACTTGTGATAGAGACACAGTTTTCAACCAGATTTCCTTCCTGCTCATCTATTTAAATCACTCACCAAAGTCCATAATTCAGTCTTTCTTCATCGTAGTGATAAGTCGTGAAATTCTGTTGGCTGTGCTATTAAGAACATTTTTTTTTTTTACAACTGCCATCCGTGTTATGTTTTAAAAGCCTACTCTAAATCAAATTAATGGTTGATTTTCATACTCGTTTTTATTGTATGTGGATGATTAAAAACAGGCCTCCCTGGGGGGGCAGCCGTTAATCTGCTTGTGACGGCCTCCTGGGGCGCCAGCCCTTGATCTTCCTACTTGGTATGCCTTGTCCGAGCGGCTCCAACATGCTAATGCTGCCGGCCCAGCAGGCCTGGGCTTTCAGAGGCAAAGGCCTCTTTAGTAATGCCATCTGAAGCCATGTGGCACATTTCAGAGGCTCTGCATTTATATTTATATGCAGGGCGGGCAGAAGGAGGCATACAGTGGTGACTACACAAATCAGTTTATTCTGGCATTGTTATTTATTATTGTAGCTGTTTGTTTTACAGCTGTACATCTACATTTGCCCACCCTTGTATATTCTCTCTTCAACACAGTCTACCTAATTATAAGCATTCGATTCAGCTCCAAAAAGGAAAGGCAACAGGGAAGACACTTAGATATCATGTGACTGCCAATGGGGGTGAAATCCGGCTGATTCTATCAGCCACAGCTCTATCAGCTCCAGCTCTAACTGCAGCCACCAAGATCGACAGGCGATGCTCACGCTCTGTGCATCCCGCCATGTTGGATTTCAAGTACAAATACCACCCCTTGGAACAGAGCGAAGACCAAGGAGTAGCTCTGGCTCTGCCATATTTGGGCCCTGACCCCGAAAAGTGTGGGAGTCGCTGCCCCAGAGTTGAGCTGCTGGGACCCACCCACGGGTGTCTGTGCAGGTGTGCCTGGGACAGAAGAGCAAGGCAAGCCGCCCTTCTCCCTGCCGCTGCCACAGCTGCTTGGCTTGTGTTACAGGTGCGGGCAGCCTCGCCAAGGGCATGTGCACACTGACTGTTCCTGCCGCAGCCCAGGAGCTGCGGGAAAGCGGTGCCCTCAGCCCTCTGATTGGCATGAACGCATGACAGATTGCGACTGTACTGTCTTAAAAAGCCAGTTGGGCCGAAACCAGTTTGGCTCAGTGGATAAGAGCATCGGCCTGCAGACTGAAGGGTCCTGGGTTTGATTCCGGTCAAGGGCATGTACCTTGGTTGCGGGGACATCCCCAGTAGGGGGTGTGCAGGAGGCAGCTGGTCAATGTTTCTCTCTCATCGATGTTTCTACCTCTCTATCCCTCTCTATAAAAAAAATCAATAAAAATACTTTTTTTTTAATTAAAAAAAAAAAAAGTTGGTTGGTTACATGACCCCAACCCGATCTGCTCTCCTCCCAGGGCTACGACACACAGCGACCTGATTCTGAGGGCCACCAGCCTGGGCATCCCGTACCGCGTCATCCACAACGCCTCCATCCTGAACGCTGTGGGCTGCTGCGGTCTGCAGGTAACCACGGGGAAGTGGTTTTTTAAAAAAGGGCTATTTTTTTTTTTTTTTTACAATTATCATATCTCATGGACTGTAAGACATTATTATTTTATACTATATTGGTGTGTACTCAATTTTTTTTATATTAAAACTTTTTATACTGTTTCTCTATAACTTAGGTCCCCCCTTCCTCCCCTTGGAATAGACCACTGAAATTAACTAGAGAAGGATTTCAGTCTTACATGAATGTGAGCCTACCAAAGAAGTAAATATGATCTAATTATGTATAAAGTGGTTCGGTACTCCAAAAGCCTTCACCTTCTCCCGGATGCTCTGCCATGCAGTGTCACCTTCTGTGCCATCAGGGCCCTGGGCTGCAGCATCTCTTAAAAGAACCTGTGAAAGAGTCCAAAGCCATGGATAGGAAGCTTTTAAGCCAACTTTGCGGTTATTAGTGTGTAAAGTTAGTTATTTTTAATCCAACAGTCTTGGTTCTGAGAGGTTAGAGCAGTGGTTGGCAAACCGCAGCTCAAGAGCCACATATGGCTCTTTGGCCCCTTGAGTTTTTAGCAAAGGCCAGCTTAAGAGGACCCTAATTAAGTTAATAGCAATGTACCTACCTATATAGTTTAAGTTTAAAAAATTTGGCTCTCAAAAGATATTTCAACCGTTGTACTGTTGATATTTGGCTCTATTGACTAATGAGTTTGCCGACCACTGGTTTAGAGCAAACAGATGTTATCTTGTCCTTTCCTTGGAATGATCAGAATAGCTGTATGTGTTCACCATCACAGACGAATACCTTACAGGTGATGCACATTAGGCGGGGCCTCAGGTTCTCGTCTCCTGTCTCTCAAAACGCCCATCATGTTTGTGGCCTGGCCCGTGGCTGGTGCTTGGAGATGTTGTTGGCCTGAATTTAATGCTTAGCTTCGGCGTACTGGCTTTGGGTTTGGCCACATCGCTGTCTGATCCCTGTAATGCCGTCTGAATTTTGGAAAAGAAATATTGCTTTAAAAAACAAGCAATTTTAGGATGAAATCACATCATATAAAACAGCACTTATTAGTACCTAATTCACGTCGTTAAAATAGCATAAAGTGGTAGGATTTCTTCCCTCACATGCTTCTGCTGGCAGAGTGGGCAGGTGTGATCAACTAACTGGCCTTTTCCATCTCTACTGCCCATGAGTCTTTGAAATGTTATGTAGACAAGTGCGGGCACTGGGAGGAAGTTGGCACGCTGGTACGCACTGACGGGCTCTGAGTTACCTTAAGTGCTCCGGAAAAGAGCCCGAGGGCACGGTGGCTTGCTCAATGGGGACACTGCTGGCCACGCAGGCAGCCAGAGAATGAATGGGGTAAGAGGAGGCCGTGTTAACTCTGAGAAGGGGATCAAGGGGTAGCGCAGAAAATAATACAGTGCCGTAACGTGGCGTTGACTGTTTCTGTAATTACAATAAAACATTTTAACGATTAAAACAACAAAAGCCTGCCTTTTTGGTTGCGGTTGACTTCAGGTCAAGGTTGTAAAATGTTCTCGTCATGACGTGGCACATCCACTTTCTCCGGCTGTTTTGCAAGGGACCTCGCTGGTTGCATCTGTTGCTCTGGTTACGAAAGGGGTTTCTGCTTGAGGCAGCCAGCATGTGGGCTTCAGAGCAGCTCTCCCTGGGGGCTTTCAGAGGCATCACCCGGGCTTTCCTATTGCCCCTGGGCCGCCGTGGAGGTGACAGCCTAACCCAGCACAAGGCTAAGCCAGGTAGTAAGGGGACCACACCCTGCACAGTGACGTAACCTCGAGGGACTCGCCCAATTCGCTCTCTAGTCTGATCACTGTGCAATTGTTTTTGACCGCCTGCTAAATAATGGGCCTCGGAAAACACTTTTCCATTTCCACTAGAACTTTTACTCCCTGCTTTAATAGCCATCATTCTCCTCCATTTATAGTTGGTTTTTTTGTGTGTGTGGACCTGATTGTGCCATTCGCCTACTCAGACAATCCTGGTAAACCCATCCTGTGCTGAGTGCCGTGTGTATGTGGGTTACATCACGGACTCCGCCTCCCATGGCACTTTATCATGGTGCCATGCATAGAATTGATAGGCAACAAGTTGAATTGCTTATTTATTTATGTATTTATTCCCCCAAGTTGTATCTTGTCTTTGGGATTATGTGCTTTAAATGACGATCCTTTCATTTAATTCCTATATGGATTCACTCATTTGTGTGTGAGGATATAAATCTCATCATCTTCTGTCTGCCTAGTCCAGTGGTCGGCAAACTCACTAGTCAACAGTGCCAAATAGCAGTGCAACGATTGAAATTTCTTTTGAGATATGGGGGAGATAAGAGATCAACCAAAGTACTTGCATGCATGCATATAAGCATAACCAATGGACGAAAAACTCTGGGGAGGGAGGGCATGTATGGGATTGGTGGGGGTGGGGATTGATAAGGTATGTACACATATGATACCTTAATTTAAAAAATGAGAAATTTGAGAGCCGAATTTTTTAAATTTAAACTATATAGGTAGGTACATTGTTATTAATTTAATAAGGTTACTCCTAAGCTGGCCTTTGCTAAAAACTTAAGGGGCCAAAGAGCCGCGTGTGGCTCTCCAGCCACATTTTGCCGACCACTGGCCTAGTCATTTGGTTTTATGTGCCTCGTGTGCGGCCCTGTGCACAGTCTTTCCAGCGTCAGCAAAAACCCGCGTGGCGTCAGTGCTCAGCAGATGCATGAGGATTAAAAGCCAATGCCAAGACCAGGAGTCTGTATGGAAAACCAGTAACTCGCGATTATGTGGTTTAGTGGCGCTTTTTGACAAGACTGCCAGCTCAGCTTTCTTTCACTTTACAGACTTCACTGATCTGATTTCGAAAGCACAGGCATATAAGAGATAGGCGTGGGGCTTAATAGTGGTCTTAGCAAGTTAAATTGACTCATTTCTCCATGTGCACAGAAGATATTTTTTTAACTTAAAAGTGACAAAACATTTTTTACATGGATATAAAATAATGAAATCATTAAAGCCTAATTATAAAATGGAGTTTGCAAAGCATCTGTGCTTTGGAAATGAAGGGACTACGGGTGGCATGGAAACGAGTTAGAAAACTATTAACGTCTTTCAGACAAGTGGTGTTGAGGGCTGTCATGGAAGAAGAATCTAGGTACATTGCTTAGTAGGAGTGGACAGGAATGGACATTGCAGAGCTGGAAAGGGCGGGTTGGCTTATGGGAAGATGTCATAAGGTAGAGATGCTGGTTAGAGGCAAGTCGGGCAATAGTTATTTTTAGGTAAGTTGCTCAAGTGCCATTTTAAATATTGCCCAAGATTGTCCCTCTGTCCCTGCCATCTCAGCCTTCCCCGGTGCGCAGCTGCCACAGCCTAAGTCTTACCCATCCTCCGCCCTCGCTGACAGCCTCTCTGGGGAAGTCCCCGCAGGTGCTCCGTCAGAGGGAGGTGCCCTGACAGCACTCCCAGCCTCCACCTCACCTGAGGTCATCGCTCCTTGCTGCCCAACATGTGCCTTACTGTGTCTCTCCTCACTCTACCCAGATGGTGTTTTACATAGAACCAAATGGCCCATTCTGGGTTGAGTTTTTATCTTCAACCGACAAATCCATATCAAGTTAGATAAACGGCTTTCTGTGTAACTCACTCCAGGTTAAAACCAACCAACCAACCAACAGACAAAAGCCGTGCCTTGATCTGTAGAAGCAGGCTCTGGTAAGACCTCCTTGTCTCGCTCTGGTCAGCGGTGTTTGCGGAGGGGAGATGGTCACCGCGCAGAGGCCCCTGTCAGCCAAGCGCCTCTGGTCCTGCAGCCTCGTTCTCGTCACCGCGCTGTTGCTTTTCAGCTTCCCGGCAGGTGTCGGGTTGTGCAACCACACAAAGACGGGTCCTTCTGTTCCTTGAGGTACTGGCATCCAAATGGTGCAACTGTTTGCATAACGTTCCAGGATTCTAGAAGCAGTTTGCGCCATCGCAGGCCTGGGAATGGCTACAGCCCATAAATCAGGGTCCAGGAAGCAGTGCTGGCAGGAGGCGCCCTTTAATCCCCCGAATCCGGCGGCTCGGAGAGAATGGGGCGGCCAGTGCCCGTGTGTGACCGGCATCGCAATGCCCGTGTCAGCGCCCCATCCCTTTCTCTGTGAATGAGGCCCTCGCCTCCAGGGCTCCTGAGATACCACAGCCCCTTGAAAGTGTTTCTGTGCGGTTGCCTGTATAATTTTCCTGAACAAGCGTTTCTCTTACAGGGTTTTCATAGGGTTAAGACTTCTATTTCAGAACCTGATCCCAGGGCCCAGCATTCTCTTTAGAATGCAAAGAGCTGCCGAAACCGGTTTGGCTCAGTGGATAGAGCGTCAGCCTGTGGACTGAACGGTCCCAGGTTCGATTCTGGTCAAGAGCATGTACCTTGGTTGCGGGCACACCCCCGGTGGGGGATGTGCAGGAGGCAGCTGGTCGATGTTTCTCTCTCATCAATGTTTCTAAATCTCTTTATCTCTCTCCCTTCCTCTCTGTTAAAAAAAAAAAAAAAAAAAAAATCAATTAAAAAAAAATACAAATCCAACCATTGAAATCCTTTAAAAAAAAAAAAAAAAAGAATGCAGAGCTGAACTTGTCAGGATGCAGCAGCGAGCATCCTTGCAAATAGCCAGTGCACATGCACAGCAAGGGGCGGGGGGGATGGTACTGAGGGGCCGGGCCGGGAGGCCCTTCCTCGGACCTCAGTGCCAGGTTCCTCTTTCCTAACCAGCCCCAAGACATCCAGTCATTTATTTGCTCCTTCAGAGCCTCAGTGGTTCTCACCTGTTAGGTAAGGATCATACCGTTCCCCAGTGAACCCCGCCGACTGCTCAGGGGTCCCTGTTGCTTTGTTTCTTACCAAATACTCGGTGCTGCGGTGTTTTTAGCAGCTGCCTCGCTGCGTCACGAGCTGGTCGGCTCTGAGCCCGTACCACATACAGACACTAGGCACATCGGCAACACGCCGGCTGCCAGGCCACGAGAACTTAGATGCCTTTTCCGTTTGGGGACAGATTAGGTGGCCACTCACCCACCCAGCTTCCTTCTCGAGTCCACTTCGCGCTTGTTATTCTGGTTGTCGCCTGTGCACTAGCGCTCGGCGCACGGTCCCGTCGCTAACGAGAGTTGTGTGTTTTTTCTAGCTGTATAAGTTTGGAGAGACAGTGTCCATTGTTTTCTGGACAGACACGTGGAGACCGGAGAGCTTCTTTGACAAAGTGAAGAAGAACAGACAGAACGGCATGCACACGCTGTGCCTGCTGGGTAAGGGCGTGCGGGCCCCTTGGAGCCACGTGTGCGTTTCTCGGAGGTGGGGACGGGCGGCTGATCCCTCAAATAGTTCGGGAGCTGGCCCCCCTCTGTACGTGAGCCTGTGCTTGATTCATGCGTCCTCCGTGGCTGCGTCCATGTCCCGTGGGAGCCGTAAGTAGCCGGGACTCAGGCCCGTGGCCCTCCGGCCCTAAAGGAGTCTTGCCCTTTGCATGTGATCTACCTCCTCTAATGTGTCCACTGAATCCTCAGGGTCTCCTTCCCATTACCTGGTTTCAGTTTATTTATTTTTTCCGTCTTACCCCTATTTGAATTGTTTTATTAACTTGTCCGGTTTCTACCCTGCCTTCTCCCCAGTGTCTAGAGCTCTGAAATAGCAAGTTCATTCATTGGTTGAAGGGATTCTGTAGATTCTTTTCTCAGACTTGGTCTCATGACCCTTTGGCACAGAAAATATTTAACTCTTGCTCGTTCATCCAGTTCCAGCCAGAGCACATTCTTTTTATTCCATCCCACGGACACCTGATCAATTCTAGGTCCAGACCAGACCTCGGATGCTTCTCTCTGCATAAGGCCCACATCTCCCAGCTGCCTGGGGAGCTGTGTGTTCTCATCTCAGCTTATTGTCAGTGCCAGTTAGTACTTTGTTAGTAACTGGTTTCATAGTCTTGTCCTTGGATTTTCCACATGAAAAGAGGCCAGGCTTACTTTCTTTTTTTTTTTTTCTTTTTTTTTTTTTTAATATATTTTATTGATTTTGTACAGAGAGGAAGGGAGAGAGATAGAGAGCTAGAAACATCAATGAGAGTCATTGATCAGCCGCCTCTTGCACACCCCCTACTGGGGAGATGCCCGCAACCAAGGTACATGCCCTTGACCGGAATCGAACCCGGGACCCTTCAGTCCCCAAGCCGACGCTCTATCCATTGAGCCAAACCGGTCTCGGCCAGGCTTACTTTCTTGTAACACATTGCGAACGGATCACGAGAATTCTCGCTTCATATTACACAGTGTTTTACCAAGTATCACACTTTAAAAAGATGTTAGCTTGTAAGAACGTATAATAAATAACTCCAAAATGCAATAGGTATTTAATTTAATTTTTTTAAAATATATTTTATTGATATTTTACAGAGAGGAAGGGAGAGAGATAGAGAGCTAGAAATGTCAATGCGAGAGAAACATCGACCAGCTGCCTCTTGCACACACCCCTGCCGGGGATGTGCCCGCAACCAAGGTACATGCCCTTGACCGGAATCGAACCCAGGACCTTTCAGTCCGCAGACCGACGCTCTGTCCACTGGGTCAACCTGGTTTCGGCAGGTATTTAATTTTAAAGTGTGCCTTTAACATTTATGTGAAGCATTTTTATACTTGTTCAATAGAAACTTATCTGGCCACTGGGTAAAGCTAGCAATAAACTACTGGTCCGCAGTGTGTGAAGCATGACAGCTGGCTGATTAGGAGTTGGGGTTCATGGGAGCCTGGATGCTTGTGTGTGTTTTACAGTAGAACTGAGCGGTTTTACAACAGAACAGGGAGAGGAGAGCCTTAAGAGGCAGGCCACCCACAAGCTTCTCCGCGTGGCCATAAAATGGGGGTGTAGGCGGGGGGGACGGGCAGAAAAGTAGCTGACCTTTCGGAAACTCTGGAGAGGCATTAGAGGTCAGCCTGCGGGACTTGCTGAGTGCACACACCAATGCACACGCAGGGCGGGCCCCTCTGGAACTGTGAGGAAGCGCCAGACGTGGGTCCTGCCCTCAGGGGTTGGGACTAGCCTGTTGCACACACGGAAGTTTAAAAGAACAATTAAGCTCCATTGTGTGGAGAGGCAGGAAGGACAGACTCGAGTTCTGGCTCTTGAACTCTAAGAGCTGCCTCTTTTCTTGGCTTTCCTGGGAAAAGACAAACAAGGCTAAACAATATATCTTTGCTCCGTTAACAAAAGCAGGAACAGGGTTTGAAACACCAGGGGTGGGGCAAAAGTAGGGTTACAGTTATTCGGGTGGAAAAATAATTAATAAATAACACGAGAAGAAGCTGTTTTACGTTCTCACAGCGGTCTCCCTCCTTCTGCCCCACCCTGTATGAGATCGCATGGGGCCAAATCCTCAAACCAGAGAGACACCCCCCCATGCACGAATTTCATGCACTGGGCCTCTAGGTTACCTATAAAAATTCTCCCAAGCCTCTTCTTTTTTTAATGCTTACGTAAGAATATTTTTTCCCCTTTGGTTTTTTTTTGTTTTTTTTTGAGAGAGAAGGGGAGAGAGGTAGAGGAGGAAGAGAGAGAGAAACATCAACATGTGCCCCATAGGCTGGGGACAAACCTGCAACTGAGGTACGTGCCCTTGGCCAGGAATTGAACCTGCAACCCTTTGGCCTGTGGCTGATGCTAACCGCTGAGCCACACTAGCCAGAGCCATCCTCTTCATTTTTAAAATACAATTCTGCAAAGCATATCATTAAAAAAATATATTACGTTACAGTCTTTACTATAGCAAATGCCATTTTAGAAACTCCAGGCAAATGAACGAATGGGTCCACTTTCGAAAACCTTACAGTAAGTACCCTTTCTAAGAAAAATGTTTACGGGGTGATCGCTCGGGAGAGCTGGAGAGGGCCGTGGCGAGCCCTCCGCTGCGCTGCACTCGAGTTATTGCAAAAGCGAACTCTGGCCGACCTGCCTGTTATGAGCCTGTGAGAGGAAGCAGCTGTCGCCACTGTATTCCGAGTTTCCTCGGAGGCGGGGGCGGGATTCTGCCTTCTACCTTCTACCGACGAGTGCAGCCGAGCGCCAGAGCATCCAGTGTGTGACGCACAGACAGCCGGGCCCCCTGAGGGTAGACCTGGGTGGCAGCCTCCATGGCATCCCGGGCCTGACCCAGGTTAATGCCTGGAAAGGCCTGATTGTTTATGACTGTTTGGTATCAAAGTGTTTCTTCTTGCCGAAACTGGTTTGGCTCAGTGGATAGAGCGTCGGCCTGCGGACTGAAAGGTCCTAAGTTCGATCAAGGGCATGTACCTTGGTTGCGGGCACATCCCCAGCAGGGTGTGTGCGAGAGGCAGCTGATCGATGATTCTCTCTCGTCAACGTTTCTAACTATCCCTCTCCCTCTCTGTAAAAAATCAATAAAATATATATATATATATATATATATAATTTTTTTTTTTTTTTTTAAGTGTTTTAAGTCGTCAGGGCGTCTCTGACTGTTCAGAGGAGGGCAAAGGTCGCTTTCCTCCTGCAGTCAGAATCCCCCGCTGTTTGTGTTACATGCCTTGCGACTAACCTTCCGGGGCCTGAAAACCAGGTGAGGACAGGAGCACGCCCAGACCTCACCAGCACACCACGCCGCAGGCTCAGCGTTAGGGGCCGCGCATGCCGGTGTTGGTCAGACCCCGTCCCGTGTCTTCTCTTCCCAGAGGAGCTTCCATCCCCTCGGGGCGGCCTCAGGACCAGCCTGGCTGTGCCTCCTCACTGTTCCCTGCGCACAACCACAAGCTCCCGTCCTCCTTGGTTCTGTTGGAAAGCGGCTAAATACAAGCACATGAGCTTTCTGGAAACTGGAGAATGTTGCCCCGAAACTCAGGTTCCCACGTGGGACTTGGATAGAGGGACCAATCACATCCCAAGGTAACTGTGTTTTTACTTCCTACAGACATCAAAGTGAAGGAGCAGTCGCTGGAAAACCTCATCAGGTGAGTGCCGCTCTGGGAATGCTTTTCATCCCGCAGCCGTCCGCAGATCCGCTTCAGGGACGGGTTCTCGGCTGTCGAAGCCAGCTTTCCTTCCCGTTAGAACCGGACCGCTTGTCATCTTAGGGAGTGGTAAGGAGTGGGAGGGAGAGGAACCGGCAGTGGGCTTGACGAGTTCACCTGTGAGTGCGTGGTCCGTGGTCAGTACTCGGCAGGCACAGCACTCTTTGTGGAATGAATGAATGAATGAATGAATGAATGAATGGGGCGTCAGAAGACAGGGGTGTGAGGCCTCAGTCTGCCCGTGGTTATGGCCCTCGGGCAGGTAACTTGCGTCTCCCAGCCTCATTCTTCTCAGGAAGAGAAGAAGGACAGTTCTTTCTCGCTTAGAGAGGCAGCCTCCAGTCAGGTGCTCCTTCCCACGTGACGATGGCAGTGGACATGGGGCTGGTGTCCCCGAGGAACTGAATTTATAGCTTCATTAACTTAAAACTAATACTCGGCTCAGTTATTGGAAAGCTTTTCGGTAGATTTAGAACAACTTTAACGTGTAAATCTATCAATAGCCACGAATTTTATGAAATCTAAATGCAGATCAAGTATTCCCAATGAAAATTTAGCGTTTGGATCAAGATGTGCTATGAGCGTAGATGTTGTAACAGATTTCAAAGACTCGGTACAAGATAACTCTTTAATAATTTTATAGGTGTAAATGTTGAAATGTAACATTTGGATACATTGGGTTAAATAAAACATTATTGACGTTGTCCTTTTTAAACTTTCACTCGTGGCTACTGCAAAATGTAAAATGATGTTCGTAGCTTGTGCTATATTTCTTTCAGACAGCTGCCTCAGAATTGTTTCAAAAGTCACAAAATAATCTGTATCAACTGTTTTTGTAAGCTGCCACGCTCTGTTTTTATTCCGATCACTAAGCGAACGCTGTAGGCTTCTGAGTCACACAGACGTAGACATATCAAGCTTACTGTGGAGTTTATTTTGTTAGCAGAGGAAGGGAAGAGGAATGTGGGGGTCAAACATGGCAGTGTCAGTGAGCGCAATAGGACCCAGTTAAGCTGGGATACAGAACAAACCGATGCTCATTTTGGATGATTTTTGCCTAAGGTATCATTTGAATGAAGGTAACTTAGACATTTATCTTCCAGTCATTGGCACTTTCATTTCTGCCAACATGCCAGTGAGCAGTGAGCAGAGCTCGAGGGGTCCAGGGGAAACCCCCGGGTCGGTGCTGTCACGTCAGCTTACGGGTGCCGCCCGAGCTTCAAGCAGAGCCCAGCGTGGTCCCCGAGTGTTCCTGGGGGCGCCGGGTTAATGTGCTCAGTGGCATTTCACGGCTGAGACCAATGGCAGCCTGTGTCCTACCCCAGGGGCAGGAAGATCTACGAACCTCCTCGCTACATGACCGTGAACCAGGCGGCCGAGCAGCTGCTGGAAGTGATTCGGAACCAGCGAGCACGCGGAGAAGAGCCAGGTACGTGGGTCCCTGCTGGGCTCTCACATCTCATACTCAGACCACACACACACACACTGCTGGGCTCTCATATCACACACACACACAGCATACAATAAAACGTCAGCAGATTTTGCCTGACCCATCAGTTTGTTCCAAGGCGCTGACTACCTCTGGGCGTCTGTCTCATCCTGGTCTGTAGTGCAGGCAGTTTGGAAAAGACTTAGGTCAGGTCGTGGGTCCCCGATGAGCCATCAGGAGAGTTGTGACATCCGGGTCTCCTTTAGATGTCCCGCTGGCACTGCTGTTGGCTTGACCGCCGGCGGGTTAGTGCGCTTGCGGAACTGAGCGGCAATCTCTCTCTCTCTGTTGACTAGCGGTCACCGAGGAGACGCTGTGCGTGGGCCTGGCCAGGGTGGGCGCCGAAGACCAGCAGATCGCCGCGGGCACGCTGCAGCAGATGTGCTCCGTGGCCCTGGGAGGGCCGCTGCACTCCCTGATCATCACCGGGGGCAGCCTGCACCCGCTGGAGCTGGAGATGCTGAGTCTGTTCCCCGTGGCCGAGGGGCCCCGCACGTAGCCACCATCCGTGGACCAGGACACTGCAGAGGCTCGTTTCTGTCCGGTGCCCCGGCCCTGGGTGTGCCAAGGGGAGCGTCCCCTCTCCGCCCGGTAAGCGCCGCACAAGCCGCCAAGAAGGAGCGGACTGCACGCTCTGTTTCCGGGGCCCTGAGCTCTCCCTTGGCCATCGTCAGCTGCTGCTGCCGTCCTGGGGCTTTCAGGATGTGAACGCGTGGAGCAGACCGAGCAGGAAGCTGGAGGGTGGCACCGACCAACAGGAGCCGTGGAAAGCAGCTTTTCCTTAGGAAGCCTGCACCAGGCGGGACCCTTCCTCCTTCCTTAGGTCAGCTGCCTGCCCACAGCCACGAGGTCCTGGCAGCCATGGGATGAGGGCTGCGAGCCAAGGTGGGGGCCTCCATCACACTGATTCCCCACTCACCTGCCACAGAAGGACTTCCTCCCGAATCGCCGTGTCTTCCAGCTGACGGAGCTGGGATGCGGCTATATTTGGGAGGTTATGTAATTGTTCATACAAATGTGCGGCCAGCCATGTACAGTTGCTCTTTGGTTTTTAATAGCAACTCACATCCAAGCTGACAAGTAGGAAACTTGCTGACCACAGAATAAAAGTTTTAAAAATCGGAATTTGAAGACAATTCATTAGTCACGCTGCGTCCTGCCCTTCGCCTGTTAGGGTGCCCCAACAGACGTGCAGATTCTAAGTGCTGGGAGGGCACCTCGGCTTCGCTGTGAATCTGAATCCTTTGCCTGCTTACACCCTGTTACAGCACTGACACCTGCGCTGTGGAAATACTGGGGGCGGGTGGGAGTGGGGGTGGTAAGGTCTTGATTTTGCTTGGCTTTGTCTGCAGTCCTGGGCCTAGCAGGACTCTTACAGGAGGTCGGTTCTCTGGCTGCCTGAGAAGTGCCAGCCTTGGATGATTTCCTCGTCACAGGTGTTCATCCGACGAGGGTGCCCTATCCATTCACACCCACACGGCAGGCATCATGTGCTCAGCCTGACTTCACAGCCTGTTTTCAAAGCCTGGAACATGGCTGGAGGGGCGGAGTGAGTGAGTGAGTGACAGTCCCACTAAAGCACCTCCCTTCTCTTTTCCATCCGAACAGAAAGTTCTAAGTTAAGGTAACCAGACATCCCGCTTTTGGCGGGGACAGTCCCGATTTTTAACAATTTGTCTCGCGTCCTGCAGCGTTTTAAAAAAGTCCCAATTTTTTTCCAAAAATCAGGTCTTTTTTAAAACACCACGAGACAAATTGTTAGAAATCGGGACATCTGGTCACCTTATACTAAGTGGCTGTCACAGCAGCTGCACCTGTCTGGTCCTGCGGCCCCTCCCTGCCGTGGCAGTGTCTCCGGTCCAGGGAGTGAACAGTGCTCACAGCCACATCGTGGGAAGGGAGAGCACTGATTTCTGAAGCTGCTCCGAGGAATGGAGCCCCGAGCACCCGGCTCTTAGAACACGGAGGCTTCTGGGCTCCAGCAACCAAAGCCCGCCAGATCGGCAGTGACCCACTGCCAGGAAGAGCGAGCCTGCGCCTGAGTGTGAGCAGAGCGGGCTGCCCTCGGGGCTGTGCCAGGCCTGCGGACTTGCTAGGTCGGAGGCGAGTTCCAGAGAATTCTGGGAGGGCGTCCTGCAGGTGCTGGAGCCGCGGGTCAGAGTCCAGTGCGCAGGCGGCAGCCAGGAAGCGGGGTGGGGGTGTTTGTAAAGGGCCTGGCAAAAGCCTCCCTCGGCAGCAATTTCTCACGCTTCCTGCCCACTTCCTGCTTTCTGGGGGTGGAGGTGCGGGTGGGAGTGGGAGGGTCTGGCATAGAGGTGGCATGAGGCAGGCAGGAAGCCAGACCATCCCTCCCCGTGACTACGTGGTCACCCAAGCAGCAAGCAGGCAGTGGGATGGGAAAGACGGAGCCGAAAGGCCGCAGAGGAAGGAAGAGGGGCTGAGATGGGCCTTCAGGAAATGGAGGAGCCCAGGCTGAAGTCCTAAGATGGGGGTGGGAAGCTGTGTTGTTTTTCTCTTTGGTGGTGTGAGATGCTGGCAGTCCCACCACGGGCGTGACAGAGCAGGTGGCCTTTGACAGACTGCCACCGGGAGCCGTCACAGGAGCTGTGGGACAGTGAGGCAGGTGGGAGCACACACAGGACAGGGCCCTCCGAGCAGCAGGGATGGCGACCAGCGAAGACGCCACTCAGGAGGAGGAGGAGGAGGAGTGGGACCTGGTTTTATGAAAAAGTGTCTTTGAAAGAGAACTGCTTCTGAGTTGGAGGGGAAAACTGGAAGATGAGAGGCTGATGTCAGATGCTTTAGGTCTGCACTCCCTACACGCCGAGGTCACCCAGAGAGAATGAGGGTGGGAACCACTTGAATTCATGGAAATATCTGGAAATAAACGCCGAGACATGGTTAGGAGGGAAAAGGGTGAGTCAGAGCCACAGTGAGGACATCCACAATGTCCAGCCCGCTCCCCGCTGACTCGTGCTGCTTCCTGGCCTGAGAATCACTCTTGCCCTTCCTCCCTCCCCACCCCACCCCCAATCCCATCCTCCAGAATCTATTAATAACCATTAGGTTCGGCAGTCTTTCTGGATCACCCAACTGATAGGCACAATTCAGGTAAAGATTTTTTAAACAAATTTTATTAGAATTTTGATACAGTTGTTTATTTGTATTAAACACATCTGAGGTTAAACAAAACGTACACACGAATGTCTTCAGGTAACAGAAAGCCAATCTACGTCACAGGCTTATGGTACTGAACTCACTTTCGCACGTGGAAACCCATTTACAACAGCCTTTGAAACGGAGATTCCAGCCGCGCCTTGCACACAAACGCTTGCTCCGAAATGTGTTCCGGACACAGTCTTTACCAAAGGAACCAAACCCAAACCAGAAGCCAGCCTGGTGGCCACCAGTCTAGAAGCCAACCAAGACAGGGAGGTCAGGTGCGGCGGGGCATGGAGACGGTACCAGGAGAGGATTTGGCAATGTTTCTGTCACAGTATTTCTGACATGAAAGGCCCATTCTGTTCACTGATCAACCTCAACCACGTTGGGCAGAAATACTATTGGGTTTGAAGCTCTTAGAAAGGAAGCAGTGGCCTAAGGTGGCAACCTCTCGCCAGGGATACATCTGGTTCTAACAGGAATGTTCACTGAGCCTCATCAATGCAGGATGTGTGATGGATAAACCAAACCCAAATGCTCGAGTTCAAAATAAAGCTTTGTTCCCACCAGCAGGAGGGGAAGTCACAGGGGCAGCGGCAACTGGGAGGGAGGAGCAGTGAGTGAGGACATGCCGGGAAGCTCCCCTGAAGTTTATAATCCAGAGAGGAACAGGGGGAACTCCAGGAATATTAAATCACTGCACATAGTGTTTATGAAGGCCCCTCCAAAACCTCTCCCGGGAAGTCTTGGAGAGTATGTTTGGGGTGAATGGAACGGATGATGTGTTTGTTCTACGTGTCCTTAAAGCGACAGGTGGCAACCGTCCATATCACCAGGGATTCAATGAGCTTTCTCACTAGGATTCAAAACCCAGGTGGCCCCGGCTCTGCCCAGTTCCTGCCCAACAACATGCAGAATGGCCCACATCTCAACGTGTCCGTGGTTTCTCTGTTAATGAGGAAGGACCAGCTCACCAAGCTCCTCGAAAAGGAAAGGACCCAAGGGATGTAAGGTCATTTGTGCAAAAATGCCCGAGAGAAGCTGAGCTGGGCTGTGCAGTAAGCAGCACAGGGCTGCTTCTGCCTGACCCAACCCCTGCCTGTGGCATTCACTGTAACTACAGTATCTACCAGCTGACCACACGGCCACTGCGCATGGGAGTGTCAATGCATGCCCAGGATCGGGTTAAGCATAGATACTACTGATCATAAAAGGGTTTTATTCCTTTGAAAAGCTTACTTGGGACACATTGCTACTTCTCAAAAAGCAACTTCCGAATAAGTTCAGGTCTGTTGGCCATGAGCTTGTGTGTCGACACCCACGGGCACTGACTGTCTTCAGACCAGTCCCTCTATCAGCTTGCTCAGTGAGTGTCAACACTACTTTTTTTTTTTTTTTTTTTTTTTTTTTTTTTTTTTTTTAAGTGCTTCTAAATGCCTAAAGGAGTCCTGGTGGTTCTTTTTAGCCTGCAGGTGGAGTTCAGGGGCAGAGGCAGGAATTAGGCACAAGAGATGATGGGGAGGATATGTCGCATGACAAGGCCACAGCCAGAGCCTGACGCGGGAACACTTCGCAGCGGTCATTCCAGTTGGAAAGCGGTTCAACACAGGCCCGTCTGTCCCGGCTCTGGCTGAGGCTGCCTCCCTGAGGCTTCTGGGGCTTTGTTAACAGTCTCCCATTAACAAAACTTTCAGTTAATGTTCTGGAGAGGCTGATTTCCTTTTTTGCCAGAAGTCTTGTGACTTGGAAAATTACTGATTTTAGAGGGTAAGGGGGAGAGAGAGAGAGACAGACAGACAGACATCGATTCTTGTTGTTCCACTTATTTTTGCATTCATTGGTTGACTCCTGTATCTGGGGATGGAACCTGCAACCTTTGCGTGTCAGGGAAATGCTCTCACCAACTGAGCGATCCCGCCAGGGTGACTAAGGAATTTGTTTTGAAGATGGCAACAGAAAGCGAGCACCCTTCTCAAGGTAATGCTTTTATGAAGAACTGAAAGGAGCAGTTTAGCATCTGGGATTCAGGTAAGAGTTCAGGATTTTACCTTCCTGAATTAAATCAATTTTGTTCTAGACAGCAGGTAAGGCCCAATGCTTTGTGGCTCTGGGAGCAGCGTGCAGCAGTCCCAGGCTCTGCAGCGACCACATGCTAGAGGAGCTAGCGGAAATGGCAGGATCTGAGGCTGAGAGGATGAGTTCCCAGAACACACAGCGAGCAGAAAAGAAGCATTCCTTCCCCTGGGGTCAGCCCTGGCAAGTTAACAGAGAACCCACTCACGTTACAAGCATCCAATGCACAGATGTCATTAAAAAATTTATTTTTTAAAATCAGGAACTGGCTTCACAAAGAGTAAAAAAAGTTTAAAAAAAAATTATAATGTTATCTTCCATAAAGAATACTATAGAAATACTATTCTAAACCTCATAACTAGATATGAAAAGTAAGACACTAAAACTCCATTTATAAAGTGCGTTCATTACCAAAATGGAGGTCAAGGGCCTTTATTTACAAGGCGGTCTGTCCCGTGGACAGAAAGGCAGCCACTCTGCAAGGAGGCGGCACAGGGGAGTAGAAAGCTCTAGCCCTGGAGTCCGAAGGCCCAGGTCCTATTGGCTCTGCCGCTACTCATCTCTGTGCCCTGGCGGGAAGGACGGGTTTTAGGGGCTTAACATTCTCATCTGGGAAATGAGAGGTAGAACAGACAGGTGCCTCAGATGTCAGATTCTGTGTTTTAAGCAATGCAAGATTTTTGCTCATGTTAATAATCTATAAAATGGGTGATAGTAGAAAAGATATCAGCAGACTCCAGCCAATGCATCTAAGGCCAATGACTGGCTGCTTTACAAAGTGCACAGAAGTCACAGTATTTTGGTTACTGGCATCAATGCCGAGGCCTGGAAGCGAGGGAATCCCAGTGCCTCGGGCCCCCACTGACGACGGTGCGGGGACCGTGAGGATGCCCATGGGGAACACGCGGCTACATGTACACGCGGCCCCTCCTCCACAGGGACCCGCGGAGGTAAGGGAGCTGCAGAGTTGGGCAAGCCCTTCCTCTTGATCAGTGCCATCTCCACTTCACACAAAACTCGGGTGGACATTTCCGCTTGGGAAAGCTTACTTGGCAAGGTAAGCTTCCCCTGAGCTGGGAAAATCTGTTCTCCGAGAATATTTTGGTTTTTAAAATATTGGAAAAGTTGTACTAGATACTCAGAGATTCCCCCCCACCAAAGGTCACCCCAACCAGAGGGATATTCTGAGTGTATTTTATAACAATTATCAAGTAGTCTTCCTCTGTGAAATGGTCTACTTGAGCAATACATCTGGGCCAACAACATTGATAAAACAGAGCAGTTCCGAAGAGGGAGGGAAAGGTTGCTTTTTCTCGCTGATTTTTCACGGCTGCACGAACACATGTACAGTCAATACCTCATCCACGGGAAACCCACACTCGGGCCTGATGGCGAGGGTGGTGTAGGTGCTGCTTGCACAAAAGCTCATGGGGAGCAGAGCGCTCAGCGAGAGGCAGAACTGGACCCTCGGAACGCACTCGTACCTTTTACAGGCCACTGCGGGCATTCTCCCAGGTGGGAGACAGCAGTGCCCTCGCTCACAATTCGTGCCTAAAGGCACACATCCCAAGTCCCCGCCTTCCCCTGCCTGTCATTCCCGGCAACGCCCACCCCGAGGCCAGCCAGGCTTCTCCGTGACCTCCTCACGCTTACGGGAGCAGCAGTGCCATTTGCAGGACGTGCCCTTGAATACCTCCCTCCTAACTGCGCAACAATGGCTTGGCACAGTCGACTGCAGGGGTTCTCGGCGCTGGCACCACCTGGCAGTCAGGAGACTTTGAGAAATACTGCTTGGTCTGCAGAAAGGGGACAGTCGCCAGCCAGTGGCCTTGGGCAGCTCAGAAAGGCAAGAGCACAGACAGGCTAGTTCTCCTACCAGCGTCGTTCACAGATCATGGGTCAGAGACAGGAAAAGGATGTGCCAGCACTTGGACAAACCGACAGCAGTTTCTGCCGCCTCCGTGGAAAAGTGCTGCTTCTCAGCTACAGTCCACACAGCCATCTCCATCCCGCAGGTTGTGATCTAAGTCACCAGGGGAGAAGCACCGCGACAGAAGGAAGTACAGTCGGAAACGCCTACCCCGCTCAGCATCTCCTTCAAAGGAATGTTTCGGCGGACTGGTCCAGCACCTGTCGCCTCCAAGTGTGATGTTGCTTTTCTCACACAGGAACCTAGGCGTGGACTTATTTGTGAGTCCTGAGGCACTGTGTCAGGAGGCATCCTGTTCCCCCAGCGGCCTGAGCGTCCACAGTCCCAGCACAGCCACAGGCAGCTCCGTGCGTCCGTGTGATGCCTGCACAGCAAGCCCGGCGTGTGACGTCATTGGGAGGATGGAGAAGCAAAATGACACAGCCCCGTCACTGCCATCTTCACTGCATTCATAAAATCCTTCCTTCGTTAACAAAACCCACGGAAAACAGCGAGGACAGATACGGGAAAGTCGGTCACGGACACAGGAGCTGATGTAGAAATCTGGAATCTAGCACATCGTGGAGGAACTCAAAACAACTCTAAAACAGATGCATTTGCCAAGTTTTGAAAACACAGTTCACAAAATGATTTAATGTAATTATTGAATCTGATTTAAAAAACAAAAACAAAAAATCACCTTTTATTTTTTTGTGTGTGTGGAGATAAAGCAATGACGGAAACTTTCCATAGATCTAACCCTCTGCTGGAATTCCACAGAAATACACACGGTGCACACCGCTAACTAGAGTCTCATTTTGTGCAGATTACAGAATACCCACTTAGAGAAACAGACATAACCTCGGATGCTGGCAAATACATTTTTCTGAGGCGAAGGCACTTGGAAAACCCAATATGGTTTGCTTCATAAGTTTGCAAGGTACAAACAATTTTACAAACATGTGATTACACCGAAGAACGTCAGCGAGTGTGATATTACATATAAAACGGATTCCCGGCTCTCGCTCTTTTTGTAAGAACACTGGTTTTGTGGGAATGAGAGCAGCAGTTTCCAGCGGCCTCGGTGGAGCCGGTCCAGACAACTGGAGGCCACGATCTGAATTTCTTACTGGCCAGGAGGAGGGGTGGCGTGAGGACATTGGAAACGAAAAAAGAAAAGGGAGAAACAAACAAAAAGCATCTCAGAGATCACAATGGTGCGGCGGGGACAGCACAGGGGCCAGACCCAAGTCCGGGGGAGGGCCTGTGCCCTGGCCCCCCAGTGGTGACCGCCCGCATAGCGCTGACCGGGTCTTCTGGTCTACCTGGGCTGGCGCTGTAGTGTTGCCCTGTCTCAGATTGCCGGGCACATGTTCAGGGTTGTACAGTACCAGACATGTGGTCCCCAAAGCAGCAGTTTTTCGCGCCTCACATGGCTGCGAAGTCGATCTGTACGTAAAGCTGTCTCACTCCGGCCTGAAAGGTTCAAAAGAAAATCAGAAAATCAGACGAGCCAGGAACAAACTATACAGTTCGGGAAAGTCGTTTAAATGAATGATGTTTCCTTTCTGCCTCTATTTTACATCACAGAGAGTAACACGTATGTTCATAAATCACAAAAGAAGTCTCCAATTACCTCTACAAGAGAAAGCCGCGCAACCAATGACAAGCGTACCCCTGAGTGTCGGGGAAATGAGGCCGCCGTCTACCAGGAGGGAGGGGCCTCTCTAACGGAATGAAGAGCTGGGCGGCCCAGGAGCGCCCAGCACAGAAGACATCTTGGCTTTTCCCTCATTTAGAAGAGAAACCCTCGCTGGGATCAAGGTGAAGTCTTTGAAACACACTCAGTAGCACCCTCTCCTTAAGAGGGTGGCAGAAAAAAAGGGGAAAAAAAAAAAGGACAGAACACATCTGTATGATTTTGAGCTCAAGTTAAAACCCACTCGCTTTTTCTATTTTGAAAGTGTTGATGAAAGACCAACCCTAGTTATCTCACAAAACTGTTACACGGTCATCCCATGTAACAAATCCTTAATAAATCCTGCTACATGCCAGGTGCTATTATAAGGATCAGGTGTGATATGAGAAAGGATTTATTATGCTCTAATAGGTTATTAAAGCAAATTATTATGATTGATTCATTGTATTTGATTTAGTCAACCCATATGGCCCCCAAAATAACTATACTAAGGAACTCTCCTGTAAAATTCTAGTATGTCTTACCCTGAAGACAAAACTGGGATCCAAATAAATGGCTTCATTTCTTTTCCCTTTTAACAGAACTATTAATGAAAGCAAAATGGGGGAAACAGAGCTGTGTGTGTGTGTGTGCAGACCCAGAGCTATGGTGATAAGCAATGAGGTAGCCCAAGGCTATGAGAGAGAAAGCAATGCAGAGAGAAAATCAAAGGGCTGCTAAATGATCTTTGCATAATCGTGAGTTAATTACTCGCTGTCCCCTGAGGGGCTCAGCTCCCACAGAAGCTCAGTCTCACAGAAGCCACTCTGCTTCCTCCACCTGCCTGCCCCCCACCTGTCCCCATGGGGACAGCCTCCACTTGGCCAGCTACCCACTTTCCTCTCCCGATTTCCTTTAAGGCAGAGAGAAAAGGGGAATTTCCAAAGAATGCAAACTAGGGTCCCTGTCCAGTTGACTCACTACAGACTCCTGACGAACACCCAGCGGATCCAAGCCCTGCGGGTCCCATCAGCTGTGCCAGGACACTCCTGTCTTACATCCTGAGAACAGCGCAGTTCGCAAAACACTTGTTCAAACTGGAAAGACAGCCCGTGCTTTGTAACACCGATGCGCCCAAGAAAACAAATGCTGTAACCCGGTGCCACAGACTTACAACATCCTCATTCAATGAACCGGAAGTAAATGTAGAAACATCAACAGGAATGTGGCTACTGAGAATGACTGGTTGGTTTGGATTCTCTATCAATTCTCCAAAACTACCAAAACGCTCCACTAAATCAGCTCAGAATGAGTAAATGGGGAATCTGACGAGGTCACAGGTCACGAGCAGTGGCTGGTCTCTGGGCTCCTTTCCCTATAAACTGGGGACAACAGTCTTGGGAGGACAGACGGGGCTGTCGGTCAAGGCCGAAGGAGCTATTCCATTCCACGAACAAACGCCTGAACCTGTGGCCCCACCCCCATGGCTGTGGTCTCCCCTCCTCGGAGGCTGGGTTCTCCCCTCCTCCGCTGTGGTCTCCCCTCCTCAGAGGTGGGCTGCAAGCATGTGTGATGAAGAAAGAAAATGGAAAGGCAGGTAAGGAAAGAGGCAGACCTGCCAGCAAAGTCTATTTATAACCGAGTCAGCCCCCATCAGCAGGTGCGGGGCAGCCGGCCGCATGGGAAGGGGGAGGCAGTTCTCCGCCACCTGCCCTGCCTCCCCGCAGCCAGGCCGGCAGCCCGGTGAGGCAGGAAGGGAGTGGGTGCAGGGGTGGCGCGGGGAGTGCTTAAAGCCCCAGCTGCCTGTGAGGAGGCTCCGGGTTCCTTCCTGGGGATCAGCTGTGACTTCTATTTTGGGACTAAGAGTGGGGCCCCAAGAGCTGAAGCAGGAAGCTGGGGCTCAGGGCTGAATAGCACCCAGAAACAGGCCGAAGAGAGAGGATGAGAGAAATGAGCAGAGGTTCTGCGGGAGCAGATGGCGTGCTTGGGCAACTGAGGAGGGTACATTCTAGATTTTTCTTCAAATGTTATTTCGCACAAAACAGAAGTGTATTAAAAAATTGACATGATTTTCATCCAGCCAATTTAATACAAGAAACAAAATGTTAAATGGCCCTCCTAACCCAGCATCCCACTTTCTCCTGTTCAAATACTAAAATAAAAAATTAGTTTTCACCGAAACCGGTTTGGCTCAGTGGATAGAGCATTGGCCTGCAGACTGATTCCGGGCAAGGGCATGTACCTTGGCTGCGGGCACATTCCCAGTAGGGGGTGTGCAGGAGGCAGCTGATCGATGTTTCTCTCTCATCGATGTTTTTAGCTCTCTATTCCTCTCCCTTCCTCTCTGTAAAAAATCAATAAAATATATTTTAAAAATAAATAAATAAATAAATAAATAAATAAGTTCTCTATCTCACCAATTCTCAAATGATAACTCATTTTTTTGTAAAGAGTTCGTACAACAGGAGGAAGAAAGAAAGACTTTTTCTATGCCAATAGGAAACCTTGTAGTTTAAAAACTGGATTATCACTTAATTAATTAATACTCCCAGAGGAATCTGGGTACTGAAGAGGTTGCCAGTTGTAGATCCGTGCTGAGCAGCGGCTCTAGCCATGGGAGACTAATGGGCTGAAATGGGAGTGAAAAGGCCCGGCCTAATAGGCAGTCCTAAAACTGTCAGAAAACATCGCTTCACAGGCAAAATGGAAGGTCATACTTCTCATACTTCTGAAGTTATCAGTCTTCCCAGTTTCAAGTTGTCCTGAGAAATTTTAATAGCTTTTTTACCAAAGCAATTACTTAAATTCTGATGTGAACATCAGCTACAAGAAGACACCAAAACATGTCACAAAACCAAAGAGTAAGCAGATCGTTGAGAAAGCCCTATTGAGAAAGCCCTATGAACAAGGTGTAATTAAAAATGTAAACGTAAAAATGTTGACATTTTATTCATGAAAGGAAATGTGACTGCAAACCCTGGATGAACGAAGCATGTGGACATGCATCTAGGGCACGAGCAGAAAGGACACAAAAATGAACAAAGCGCTTCAGTCCTGCACGTGTCGGACTGAAGAGTGATCACAAAGGCACTCGCAAATCTACGGCTGAGAGGCATTATCGGGGCGACCCCTCTCCCCTCTGGGAAAACGTGTCCATCGTCTGCACCACGGGCCTCGTTCTCTCCAAGGAACGGAATGAAGTGGCCTGCCTTTAGCTAGACAAAAAGGCTTAGAGTATTTTCCAGGGCTTAACATTTTCAAAACCCAAATACAGTTTCCCAATCCAAAGCAGCAGCTGAGTAAACCTGCCCGTCCTCGGGTTACAGCCCGCCTCTGTCTGCTCGGTTCTGCCGGGCAGCGCGCCTTCTCAGAGGGCAAGCTCGATCAGCCGGGTCCCGGGGGGGCTGAGGCCGGTAGAGGCCAGGTCCGAGGGGGACAGGGTGGAAGGCCGCTCCCAGGGGAAACTGAGGCTACAGAAGAGATCAGCGATCTGGAAACAGCAGCGAGCTCAGACACCCTGCAGGCCTAGCCCGCTTCACGTGGAAGTCACATGACGTAGCCTGTGTCATACGGTAGCCGCGTGACATCGCCCAGGCCAAATGGGAGTCACACGAGACTTGTTAGTGTCTGTGCATCAAGAGGCTGGTTCTTCGACCCCACAGCACCACCGGGAGTCCCTGTCCCTGCGGGCGATGATGTCATTTAGCCCCAAAGGCGCAGGCCCACTTTCCTCTTCTGGAGAAGAGCGAGCGCTTGTCTCCGAGCAGGTCCTGAACCTAACTCAGCTGCGGTTCTTTGCTGTCCGTGCCTACAGATACCACATCTCTCTCCCTCTCTCATCTAGAATAATCCCTGCCGTTATTTTTCCTTTCATGACATTGACAGCCAGTAAGAATCCAGGCTGACCCCCCAGCAGAAGGTCCCACAGCGGGTCTGGCTGCTGTGATGGGCTGGGCTGGCAGGCTCCCAGGTCTCCAGCACAGACCTCTAGGGCACGTGATGTGTCTCCTCACGAGCTTCATATGCTAAGATGGCACTGGCAACCGTGTTGGCATCTAGTTTCTCGCTAAATATTTCCAGCGAACCAGACCAAGAAGAGAATGTGTGTGTTCTCGCTCTTCCCCGTGGATGTTCCTGACATAAAGTCTTGATCTCAGGACATCCAGAATCCCAGTGGTCGCTCACGCCCCGATTACCAGCCACTGTGGCTCACAGCACATCAGCATTCGCTTCTATAATAACGTTGCCCACTGCCCAGGCTGCTTCCTGCTCCCAGACAGAGAAGAGAACTCCACGGCACAGTAAGCCATTGAACGGCAGATCTGCCGTCACATTGGAATGCTGGCAGAGGCTGCCTTTAGCTAAAACCGAGGACAAGGCGTTATTCTTATCCCAAACGCTTAGAATGCCTGGCTTCACACGGCATCTCGCATGTCTTAAAGGAGCATATAGCAAAGGGGAATCACTTTTCCTTAAAGGAACACAAATCAGTATAATGGGTGAGGATTAACTAAAATAAGGATCTCCCAAATCTGACTCTGGGGTTGAAAAAGAAAAACACATCTGTGCTTACTTCACAGTGTAGCATCTAAATATACATATTTTGGCTATGTTAAGTAGTAAATATTTTTAAAATGGTAGATACAATAAATTCTAAGATATAAAGGAGTTAGTAAAAAAAAAAAAAAAAAAGTCATACCTGAGTAAAAATATTGTGTGTTTGGCTTAAAATCCACCTGGTGTCGGCATCAGGCGCCACCACTAACTTCAGGGTCCCGACGTACACGTCAGAACACAAGGTCCAGAAGTGCTGTTCCTGTAAACTGTAGACGCCCTGTAAGTGCTGTACCTGCAGAGAAAGGCGGGGATTAACACCCTCGGGCACAGGGGCTCCTCCCGCTCTGACTCCCAGGCAGCATGTCAGTCCACACGGAGTCTCCCCACCAGCAAACAAGGGAGGGTGTGAATCCACGAAACCCTGGGGGGCTCACTGTGTGCCCGGCGCCCTGACAGGTAGGCGTGTGGGAAGCAGGAATGAGCACATGCCGAAAGCTGTCGGGCACAGCTGAGAGTGCCTGGAAGAAATGTACACATTCAGCTGAAAACGGTTTGGCTCAGTGGATAGAGCATCGGCCTGCGGACTGAAAGGTCCCAGGTTCTATTCTGGTCAAGGGCATGTACCTTGGTTGCGGGCACATTCCCAGTAGGGGGTGTGCAGGAGGCAGCTGGTCGATGTTTCTCTCTCATCGATGTTTCTAGCTCTCTATCCTTCTCCCTTCCTCTCTGTAAAAAAAAAAATCAATAAAATATATTAAAAGAAAAAAAAAGAAATGTACACGTTCAAATGGGAACAAGTGAGCTAAGAAACAAGATAAACTCAAAAAAATAAGGACATAAAAAGGCCGAAATCAATGGTCCAGGGAGTTGAAAAGAGAGAACTCACAAGATGGAAAAACCAGTCCTTTGAAAAGGTCAGTGAGCTGGAGCCAGTGTTTCTTTTTTCCTCTTGAATTGATTGGCTTTAGAGTGAGCGAGAGAAAGAGAGAAACACCGATGTGTTGTCCCACTTACTGATGTGCTTCTTGGTTGCTTCCTGTGTGTGCCCTGACCAGGGATCCAACCCACAACCTTGGTGCATGGGACGACCCTCTTCCAGCCTAAAGCTTTCTGATGCTTCCATTTCATCCGAGCTAAACCTCTTAGCAAGCCCCAAACCTGGGCATGACCTGTCCCCTGCCCCTCTCTCCAAACTTCCCGGCCCCTCTGCTCTTCCTCACGCCTCAGCCACTGGCCTTTCTCTTCCTCAAACACACTCGTTCCCCCCACACAACTCTGCATCACCATTTTCCCAACCCTTAACGGCCTACCGTGTGGCAGCAGCACGGCCAGGCCGGCGGCCGAGACTCACCCGCTGGTAGCACTGCGGCAGGGCGCCCTCCAGCTGCGGCGGCGTCCGCTGCATCAGCACGCCCACCGACTCCCGCAGGAGAGGGATGACACTGGGGAGAAGGACGCAGGTGGTTAGAGCCAGTCTGACAGCCTGTCTGGAAGAGCGCAGAGCACCCGTCTCTGGAGCGGAACGTGGTTAGCTTTACCAGAGAAATATGGGGAAGAGGAATCTAGTCCTTGTTCCAGATGTTCATGTGATCAACAAGCTATCATCTAAAGGAAAAGTGAAGCGCTAGATCAACGTATCTGTGTCCAAACCAGGAAACGTGCACTACCGAACTAGTGCACTGAGATCTGGACCAGCGGTCAGCGGAATGTTCCTGAAACAGACTCCAGTCTTCCCAGGCCGCCCGGGAAGCGCCTCTCTCTCACAGTCCACACACGCTCAACAGAATGTTAGGAAAAACACACAAATGAACAGGGCATGTTAGTCCAGTTGTTAATATTTTTTCCAACAGACTATACGTGTCTTCTTTCATTATTTAAACCTGGGGTGGGGAACCTTTTCTCTGCCGAGAGCCATATGGATCTTTATAACGATATTCGAAGGCTACACACATTATCATCTTAAAACTTAGGCTGCTGTTGGTCAAACATTTAATTAACTCGCCCCTCATGCCTAGGCAGGGACAGACCCAACGATTTTGTGGGAGCCGCACCTGCCCCCCCCCTCCCCCGGGGGCTTACACAATAGAGGCCTGAGCCCACACACAGCTCTGCTGCCCCCGACAGGCTGGTCCTCCCGGGGTGGGGAAGTGCTGCTCTCCATGCTGAGGGTTAAACGCGATGAACTGTGTGTGGGAGGGCGGCTCTGAGGCCGGGGATTCTGAGCCAGATCCACCTGGAGTCCTGCCTGTTTTCACCTGACAGTGAATCGGAACCTCCGAGGGAAGGTCAAGGCGTCCAAATAGTTCTTGGCTCCTCCCCTCCCCTTCCTTCGGTCACGCATCTACAGTGATCACTTCACCGGATTACTCCCACCGCCTCCTAAGTGGTCCCCTGCCTCCAGTCCGCTCTGGGGTCCACAGTGACGGACCCCATGACCCTGCCTCCCAATGTGCCCTCAGGTGCGCCCTCCCTGGACCAGCTGGGGACTTGCCGCTCACGAAGAGCATGGCAACGTGACGAGATGTCACTTCTAAGGTCAAAAGGCTCTGGCTTCCCATTCGGTCGCCCTCCTCGCCTGCGTGCAGGTGCTGGCTCCCAGCTGCCACGCAGTGAGCTGTCTCGGGGCGGCCCTGGGCAAGGGTTGGAAGCTGCCCCTGGAGAGGATCGAGACCCTCGGTCCAGAGGCCCAGCCCCACTCGGTACCCCGACCCCGCGGAGTGACCTGGAGTGGGTCTCCCCAGGTGGCCCTGGCTGACTCCTTGGTCGCGGCTTTGGGAGCCACCCTGTGCCAGCCTGGGCTCCTGAACCAAGGTCAAGCAGAGAGAACATGTTACTTCGGCGCCTGGGCTTTGGTGTGGCCTGCTATGCACCCCTGGGTGACCGATCCACGCTCTAGAAAGCTGCCAGACCGCTCTCTCCAAAGCCAGTCTGAGCCTCTCCCTTCCATTAGAAACCTGTTCAAGCTGCCGGCTGCCGGCGGAAGTGCCAGCTCCTCAGCATGGCATGTTTCTGGCTCTGGCCCTCCGGCTTCACCTCCCGTCACCCCGCTTCATTGTAAGCTCTGACCGTAAAACAGCTTGTACTTCGCCCTCCGCTGTTTCTTCCTTCCCTGCTCTGGCTCAGGCGTAACCTCCGCCTAGAGTGTCCCTAAACGGCCCTCTAACCTGATTTCTGTTCCTTCCTTAAAACCTCCAGCGTCACCCCTCTTAGGGCATCTTTCCTGATCCCAAGCTGTCCTCCAAACTGTAGGGAATGTCCTCTCTGCTCCTACGGACAGGCTGGAGGAAATGGGCAGCTGCAAACAGGGATAAGGATTCCGGCAGCCCCTTCGTCCTCTAACCCGAGCGAGGTGCCTGCTCCGTCCGCTGTGCTGTCACTGCACAGGCGAGGACCCCCCGGGTTCAGAAAAAGGCGAAGAGAAGCATGCAGTGACTAGTCAACCATGTGACACCGCCCGTCTCCCTCCCCATCCTCATTCCCAGGAAAAGGCTCCCGGCGGGCTGCTCTCACGCCCTAAAGGCAATCCATGGCTTCCTCCGCTCCGCACTGTCCTCTTAGAGAGTCACCGTGAGGAGAAATGAGCGGGCGGTTCCCCATCCAGCTTAAATCCAGCTACTGTGGTAAGTGGTTCTCCCATCTGTAACCCCGGGATCTGCCGGTGGCTGAGAGGTCGGTGGGCGGTGCACTCCCGTGGAGACCACGACTGTCACGATGTAAGGATAACATGGAGCGTGTCCTGTCAGTAAGGGTCCCTCGAGGTGCTGCGATTTTACTGCCCTAGGACCGTGGCCGGCAAACTCATTAGTCAACAGAGCCAAATATCAACAGTACGATTAAAATTGACTAAACTTAAATTTCTTCTAACGCCACTTCTTCAAAATAGACTCACCCAGGCCGTGGTATGTTTGTGGAAGAGCCACACTCAAGAGGCCAAAGAGCCGCATGTGGCTCTCGAGCCACGGTTTGCCGGCCATGACCCTAGGACATCTGGGAAGGTGGCCTGTTTGGACAGAGTTTTAATGAAATGCTTACATTCAACAGCAGCGAGCGGGTGGCCAGAGCTCATGGATGCACCGCGCGCCTTCTCCAACGAGAAGGTGAAGGTCACGTAAGAATCGCAGCTGCGGGAGCTGTAACGGGGTCACGAAGCCGTGGTGGGAGAAAAGGGTGCTTGCTGAATCACGTGGTGAAATGCCATTCGGAACCAAGGTCAATTTCCGTAATAATTTCAAAGGCCACAAGTATGTCAAAGAAACCTGTAGAAACTCTAGCCTTGTTTTTTAAAATTGTGTTTAGCTCAGGAGTTTGGGGTCCATATTTTTCCGATTAACTATTGTAAAGGGGACTGGCGAAGCAGACTTGAGCATGAGTGTATCTAGCCATAATGAAAGGATAGATATGGGGGAAAAGACAAGCGTAGCAAATTCCTGCCTGAGCTCAGACTCAGAGCTGCCTCCAAACCCCAAAAGCAAGCATTTGGAAACAATTAGAGGTTGGCTTCTGGTCCACCAGCTCGATTCCAGCTTGAACAATGCAACGCCGCCTTCCCAGCCTGCACAGAAAGGCGGGAGTCATGTGCTCTGCGTTTACCAGTAAAACAGGGTAATGACTTGATTCTTCAAAAGCTGAAGGCAAATCAAATTTATAATCACACGATCTTGCATGTGCATTGAAATGTGAAAGCAGAAACCCTCGCAGACTAAATAAGCGCCTTAGTCATTATTCTCCATGGCTAGTAATTTTGTGAATGAAAATATACTCAGATCTTACTTCAAAAGCGGCTTTTGTGGGAGAGCCTCCCCCCTCCAGCAGGAGGGTCTCGGGCAGGATCCCTCTGAAGAGCATGGGCCTAGTGATGATCGTGTGTAACGGTAAAGAACGGAAACTGCTTAGACCTAGGATAAATACCCAATAGTAACGACTGAAACGTAATTACTACTTCAGCTCTTTTATTTGGCTTCTGAGCCATGCCCTCCTGCACTTGATCAGTGGAGCTTCTACTAGACACACACACACAGAAAGAAAGATGCATTAGAAGAATGCATACATGTGAAGGCCTGCTGTATGTCACATACTCCAAAATGTTTAGTGGACAAAAAAGTAAAAAAAAAAAAAAAAAAAAAACCCTGACCCCAAACTAATGTACCCTTCGCTTAGACATGCAGTCCTGTGGCGGGCTGAGCATGCTGTCACTTTTACAGAAACACAACTATTCCGTGGTGATAGACAATTACTATTAACCCAGAATTTCCTAAGCCTAAACTTAGAACAGATAACCCCAAACCACAAGGCCAGTGGCTTCCCTGACAATTACACTAAGTTTCCAAACCACTGGCTTACCAGCACATCTTGAGAGTATCTACTGTGCTCGGTAATGGGAAGGAGATGCCCTAAAATACCCCTGAACTTGGAGCCAGAGCCACGAAGAGGTCGCCTTTTCCTTAAACTTCTGGAACTCTGTGGTAACACGTCATGCATCCGATCTTTGAACCGAAAGCATCCGTAAATAATGCCAACTTAGAAACAACTAGCAGCGTCTTTGTTTAGACAACACTTAATAAGTTCTAAAGTGCTTTCATACATTTTTTTCTAATTTGATCCTCACGACGGCCTTAGGTGACCGTAAGGAAATGTTGGAATCGCTGTTAGGGCTTCTTTTGTGCGACCTGACACTCGCGTGGGAGTGAGAAGAATGTGTGTCCTGCTGCCGTTGGGTGGAGTGGTCTCTATCTGGCTGTTAGCTGATGGGCCTCAGTGCTGTTCAAGTCTTCTTCCTTGCTGACCCTCTACGTGATTGACAGACTGGTTTCCTCCCCTGGCCTCAGTCATTTTTTTTTTTTTAAGTTCTATATCTGAGTTCACGGACGCTTCCTCCGCCTGGTCAAATCTGCTGTTGCGTCCCTCCGGGGAAATCTCCATCCAGTTATTATTTATTATCCTTCAGTTCCAGAATGTCTGCTGGGCTCTCTCTCCGCAATAGATTCTCTCCCTTGGCTGATATCCTCATTTTGTTCATGTACCGTTTTTCTGCTTTTGTTTTGTGTCTGCTTTCTTTCAACCAACTGGGCACCCTTATGATGGTAATTTTGAGTTCTGTCTCCGGCTATTGATATGTCTCCCTTTTGTAGGCTTGGTTTCTGGAGACTGAATCGTTTCCTTTAAATGTGTCATAGTTGTCGTTTCTTTGTATCTCTTATTTTTTTGTTTGGGTTTCAGTATCTGAAGAATCAGCCAGGACTCTAGACTTTGTGGTCTGGCTTCCTAAGGGAAGTCTTTTTCTACGTAGCCTGGCGGGAGATCCTGAAGAGTCTTGTCGGCGCACGTGTCCTGTCTGGCAGGTGCATGGAGTCTCCTGTTGGAAAGGCTGCTGGCTTCTACTCAGGAATTCTTGTCTGCAATACCAGGCTTTCTGCAGCTGCAGGAAATCAGTCCTAGGGTTCCACCTGGTGTCTGTCTGAGGTACTGCAAAGTCTAATGTAAGGTTGGTGTCTTTGCACCTGCCGGTTTGGGCATCTCTAATGTTATTGGCTAATGATCACTAACACACTATCGCATTGGCTCTGCTTGCCAGGAACCTTAAGTGACCTTAAGAAGATGCTGGAATCACTGTTAGTTCTTCCTTTGTGAGCTGACATGTAGTCTATCAGGAAGAATACCCCATTGGGCGCTTCACCTGAATCATCGAACACAAGGAATGACACGAGTGACGTTTCTCAATTCCCCCAAGGATAGTGCATGATCAGAACTTTCTAGACGTGTAGGTGAGAAGCTAACAATTACATGCACATGCATGCTGTAACGCATTAGAGCAGCGGTCACCAACCTGTGGTCTGTGAACCACGGGTGGTCCGTGAGGTCTGAAAGGCTGGTGACCGCTAAATTAGGGCATTCCCAGAATGATGTTTGAGAAAGGGTGTTAGACTAATCAGTATTTACAAATGTTCTCTCATGGTTTTATATACAATTACTAGGCAAAAATGTTCCCATTGTGGATACATATATAAATACAAGCACCAAGTTAAAATCCAGAGAACCTCTTTCTTTATCTTAGTTCCAAAAAGTACAGTTCTCAAATGATAACCACTTGAAAGGCACCCACAAAGGAAGCTTTTAAGACACCACCCAAAACCACTTTTTTTAAAAGTGTATCTCCATAATTTCTCATAAATGATATGGTAGCTTTTTACATTTTTTTTTTTAATTCTTACATTTACTTAATATCAGCTATGAATAATTACCTACTTGACTTACAATTACTTAATATTGACTACGAATAATTACCTATTTGACCACAGAATCAACAAGGTTTATCAATATTAGTATCTGGTCCAAGTCCTATCTTCCTGAACATGGATGATCACCTATGATTTAGAATTTCAAATTCGTAATTTCGTTTCACTAGTACACATTGTTTCCATTCCGTACCTCTCTTACAACCATTATCTGTCATTTCTAAAGCCTACTGCCCTAGATTGCCTCTAGAAGTGAGCTGTTTGTGTCTCCAATATGACCAGAAGTAAAAGAAAGTTTTGCAACCTTTTCTTTGTACTAACAAATGATTATGGTGAAGATGCACAAAGCACCGTGAGACGGTACCTGCAGAAAACGAATTTAAAACATTTCAGCAAGGCTTTGGAAATACCACCCAGTCCCCACTCATTTCTGCATCCTGTTTATGTGTTTCTTTCCCATCATGCATAGGTACCCCTTTTATTTAAGTAACTCAGAAATCAAGCCACAGATCTGGGCAAAGGCATTGCTTTCAAGAGAAATTCAGTTACTACTGACTGTTCAAAGGTCTGCATCTCAGTCACGAACCTACTCTTCATTCCAATTCAGCGGCTAATGGGAAAAGGAGCAAGCCATTCCGAAGCCTCTTGCGAGAAGCGTATATTTTCAGAAAATAAAAGCTGCGCTCTCATTGTCACCCTCAATCTGCTGCTTTTCCTGGGAAACAAAACTCATCACAGCACCACCAATTTTACCCAGAAATATCTATCACCATTTGCCTGCGCTAGGAAATGGTAGGAGAAAAACTCTTTTTCTAAGCAATCACTTTCACTGCGCAAGTGAAAATGGAACATTGGGCAGGCAGCCTGGAAGGGAGACATCCATTTCCATGGCAGGCTCTCCACTGAGGAACATTAAAATGCAGAGAATGTATAAAGTCCCATTACTTCTTTTGCTCTTGATGAATTGCAAATATATATAAAAATTAAGGGTTAGGGAAAATGACTCCTTTATAGTCTATTTTGTCGTGTCTATAAGAGTTTTCATTTATTTCCTAAAATCTTCTTTGGCTAATCAGGCAAAGTCTTTAGACCAATTTGAAAAACATCTCAGAGTGATCTTACACATATTTCATTATCATGTGAACATTTACGTAAATTAAGTTTGCTTTCTTAACAGAAAAGTAGATAATTGGAATGTCTTTATTTTGTACTTTGAAGCTAAAGGTTTTTTTATTGCCCTCCATTTTAAAAAATGATGTTTTTTAAGATCAAGTCAGAAATGTTGGTTTGCCATGAAGACATTAGGGAAGAGCGTAATTTTATACTTACACCTGGAGAGACCCACATAGCAAGCATTCAGGGCTGAGTATATATATATATACATACAATATACACACATATATACACACACACACACACACACACACACACACTACAATACTATACACAAGCTATATATATTTCCCCCTCATCTATGGAAAGAGAAATATGTGCTTTACAATAATAAATCGTTCTTGCCTGGCTGGAGTGGCTCAGTTGGTTGTCATCCCATGCACCAAAAGGTTGCCGGTTCAATTCCCAGTCAGGGCACATGCCCAGGTTGTGGGCTTGATCCCCAGTAGGGGGTGTGCAGGAGGCAGCCAACCAATGATTCTCTCTCATCACTGATATTTCTATCTATCCTCTCCCTTCTTCCCTTCCTAAAAATAAACATATTAAGTATAATAATAATGAATCGTCCTTACATGTTGCTCTGTACATTGTTATCATTTATTGTCATTGAATTAAGACCTTGCTAGCTAACTAATCATCCTGAAACTTTATAGACTTAAAATAACAGTTGCACTACCTCTCACCCGGAAGCTGAAGATATGCTAACGCCGACCAAGCTCAACAATCAGCACAGAGAGCAGATATTCAATAATGTAAAAAAAAAAAAAAAAAAAAAAAGCCTAAAAATGACTAAAGAAATACTGCTAACAGAGGAAATGTCACCTTCAGGTGCTGTCCTCCTGATGGATTTTTCTTTATACTTCTCATCCCTTTCCAAGTTTCCTATATTGACTATAAGTTTATAATCCGAAAAAGCTAAAAAAGGTTTTCTTACTCAGAATATAATTTTACACGTAATACAAAGAAAAACCCACAAAGCAGAGGCCTGGAAGAAGAGAAAAAAGCCGAAAGAATACCCAAGTTATCCGCACAGTTCTCCTGGCTGGTGGGAGGAGAGGTGCTTTTCTCCTTATCCTTTTCTCCACTCGGCCCAGTTTCTTTGTCAACGTAATCCTTCCAAAGCGACACAGCGACACCTACCTCACGACGATGAGCATGGCTATGAGGATGGAGCAGATTGGGTCTGCTATCATCAGCCCGAAGTTCTGCATCAGGATGGCGGACGCAATCACCCCGATGCTCCCCAGCGTGTCTGCGAGAATGTGCAGAAACACACCTACAAGCAGACCAGCAGGATCAAAACACAGCTGAGCAACTGCAAGTGCAAACATTTCTTGAAATCATCTTATTTACCATATGAAGTACTACATACTACATACTAATTTGAGAAATGGCCAGGATGTAGATTAACTGGTTAGTAATGAAGCAATAGTACCTTGGGGATTGAAACACTCCCTCCTGTTTCAAATCAGCAAGACTCAATATCCCTGATGCAAAATAGCATAAGTGAGGAAGTAGAGCAATGCATGGATTCTAAAAATCGTTTGTGCACATTTGTCTCTGGTTAAAAGAGCCCAGAAGTTAACAACTTGTTAGAAGAAAATGTCATTGGCAGAAAGAATCTTAACTAATCTGTCAAGAAAACATCGCTAAATGTATGGATCATGGACACAGAGAGCCCCCTACTGGTCACTAAAATTACACATTTCAGGCGAATTACCTATGATAACTATTAAACCTGACAAACTTATTAATTATCCTGAAGACTTTGTTACCTCAAGTTACATACTAAGCTTATGTAAGATATAAAAGTAGAAATTTAAATATTTTACATTGGATGTAAATATATTTGAACTTTTAATAATTAAATATTAAATTGGTATGATTCTAACTGTCTAAGAACCTAGATATAATATTAACATTCAAGAATTGTCTCTTGATGGAAAAGACATTATAAAATGTCAAGAAGCAATTTTAATATACCGGTATGTGGTTTTTCAAAAATATTTAATTAGAGAGATTATTCAACATTTAGATCTCTAGTGAATAAAATGTACTCTATGGCAAAACACCGTTTCTTAAAATGTCTCTTAAAATACATTTTTTGGTGTGCTACAGAATTTTATTAAGTGATTTATGTGTGCCATGAAATGAAAAAGGTTGAAAATCACTGCCCTATACAACTTCAACCAGTGTTGCTAAAAATAGAACATTCTTCAACATCATCAACTACTTTAGCTGAAAAGAAATATCTAATGTGTAAAAAGGTCTACTTTAGAAATACTTTTTTTTTTCTAGTTTTTTATTCACTGACATTATTTTAGGTGTGAAATATACCTTTGCTTAAACTTGAAAACACTTTCTAATAACTTAAAAATTGACTATTAACCAGTCCAATCACATCCTAATGCATTCTGGGGAAATACATTTCATTTCATCTGCCACCATGGAATTTTATATCAAGTATTATAGCAAATGTAATTAATTCCTCAGTACCTATTACTTTTTCATTCTGAGTAACAGTTTTCAACCTTTTTCATCTCATGGCACACATAAACCAATTACTAAAATTCTGTGGCACACCAAAATACATACGTTTTTGCTCATCTGACATAAAATAGATATAATTTTGAATGCCCATCTGACATAAAATATAGTTTTGAATGATTCACACACAAAAATGACATTAACTACAAACCCCTTTTTGCTCCAAAGTGACTTTTTTAAAAAATTAGGCAGCTATACTTGTATATTAGGATTTCTGGTACCAAGAATTAACCTATCAGATACAACCTTAATATGCAATTATGCAATATAACTATTCAGATGCAACTCTAGTATATGACCTGTATATTTATGGTTCAAAACGGGGCTATTCGGGCTATTGTCATTGTTTTATTCGACCACTTAAAGAAATAGTGAGGAATTGCATGTTTTAAAAATTCTTGCAGCATACTGCGTGAAAATTGCTGGTATAGGGTATTGAGCTTTATAATAATTCTTTTTTTTTTAATGGCTTTTTTTTTCTTTTCTTTTTTTAACCTTTGTAACAATTCTTTAGGGGAGGAAATGGCTTTTTTCCATCACAAAAATATGCTATGGGAAAATATATTTCATTTCCCTAGGTATTTCAGTAGTAAAGAATAGTAAGTGTTGGGATCACCTTAAGCTTTAAAATTAAATGGAGAAAGATACACAGCAAAGTGGATTGAGGGGCCCTAAGCTTCAAAATTCTTAAGTGATATGTGTGATTTTTAAGTCTTTATATTTTGTAATCGGTGTTTTGGGATCAGAATTGAACACAGCTCTCAACATCAGAAGGAAAAAGAAAAGAATCGCTCGTTTTTTATTTCCCTTTGGAAATGGGGCAAGAAGCTGAGGGGTTCACTCCTCAGTTCTCCATGTGTGAGCGTCTGTGAGGAAAAGGGTTAGCAGCATCAGTCATCCCTGCCCTTCAGCCACCTGCTGGGCTGCCGCAGCCCCATAAACTGGTGGGCACTTAGGAAATATGCACCAATGTTCACAACAGCTGTATAAAAGGCAATTAGGAAGGCAAACCCAACCTCCCCTCACATCGTGATGATTTCTCAACTAAAATGAGCTCTCATTATCAAGGCTCACTGATAGCTCTGGATACAGACACTCCTTATGCATCATTACAAGCTATTTCAGCAGATAGACAATTCTGTATATTTTGCAAATGGGAAGCGAGGGGCTGGAAGACACGTTTAAGGGCCTGAAATAACCTCTTTGGTGCAGAGGAGCAAATTTACAGGGAAATGTCAAAAGCGAAAGCTGCCTCGGAGATAAGTAGGTGTAGCGGGGACTGGATCACAAGCTACTGAGAAGGTCAGGCTGAAGTCAAGCTCATAAAGGCAGAAAGATGGGCCGCTGGGACTTAGAAAACTGGAACAATGAAGTCTAAACGGAAATTGCGACCAAAGATTGGTTCCCATCCCAAAACGGGAACTACCATAGTTCACAGACAAGACTGATTTTCTCTAGCGTGTAAAATTTGAGAATACACCGTTTGACATGATAGGTAGGTAAGCTCCTGTTTAGGTCTCATTTTTTATGCCTGTGGATGTAACTGAGGTCTCACTTTGCATTACATTTTTTAAAAAATATAACAGACTTATTCTTTGAGAGCAGTTTTAGGCTCACAGCAAAATTAAGGGTAGATTTTTACACCCTCTGCCTCCACACATGCACAGCCTCCTCATTATCAGCATTCCCCACCAGGTAACATTTGTTACCACTGATGAAACATTGTCCACACACCAATGTCACCCAAAGGCCACAGTTTACATCGGGGTTCACCATGGCCAGTGAACATCTTTGGTTTTGGATGCATTGCATTTGTAGCACTAAATTTTCCACAACATAAATACATATGGAATATTATTCTTGGCAAAATTATTTAATAACCCCGCACAGGTAAATATACTACTATGATGTTACTATAGTCATTGGGATGGGCAGCATTTTACTTATGCAATATCGTTTCTGAACATTTTATTCTTCTTATTACATCTGAGAAAACAGCCAACTACAATTAAATGAAAAGAATGACTTTTAGCGCTTAGATTATAAAATTGAAAAACAGGAACAAAATTGATGCTAAAATCTGTCATAGGCTAATAAATATTATTTACCTATAAATGGGTGTATCAGAAAATTCATTAGGAAGGGGCTAACATTTTAAACACAAATACTATGTTACATATTTTTCTCAAAGGAAAACTCTGAAGCCAGCTTTGTAGGACAGAAAGGGACCAGCGCCTTGCCGTACCTTGTAAAATCTGTCTGCTGGGGCCTGCTGTCTGCTTGAAGGAGGGGCCATCTGCAGAGAGGTAAGTGAGATTATTTCAGAACATGTCTTCAGTTCCCGACGCAATGTTTGCGATTCAGAGCACCTTTCACTCAAAGGCATCGCGAAGGCTGCATGACTACACAGCCACGTCAGACCTACAAAATTACGTTTGACACTTAATACAGTAACAGAGAATAGTAGTAACACTGTCATTTTGCTGTGTGGAGGCAAAACAGGTAGCCGCCTGCCGATCCTGCGGACAGCCCACAACGGGCTGCTCTCCAAGCCCAGCACCTCATCCAGGCCCCTGCTGTGTCTGCAGGCTGTGGGCCCAGATAGACAGTCATTTCTGACAGCTGTTCAGAGAGGTGTCTCTGCTGCTCTGACGTCAGAGCTACAGGAGACAACGTAACCCCCTCCTGTTCACACTCTCAGAGTCCTCTGGGCACAGAGCATGGCTGGCTGCTTACCAAACCCCTTTCTCCTTTCGCGCTGGCCAACAACTAAACCACACTTCCGGCGGCCTTTAGTTAGGAGGTGTGTGTCACTCGGTAGTGAACAAAGTACTAGATGGAAGGCACGTCTGGCTCATAAGCATGTCCCATCTGACCTTCTACCTAATTCTCAGGGTTAAGAATCCCACAGAATGCCGAAACCGGTTTGACTCAGTGGATAGAGCGTCGACCTGCGGGGCTGAAAGGTCCCAGGTTCGATTCTGGTCAAGGGCATGAACCCTGGTTGCGGGCACATCCCAGTTGGGGGCGTGCAAGAGGCAGTTGATCAATGTTTCTCTCTCATTGATGTATCTAACTCTCTATCCCTCTCCCTTCCTCTCTGAAAAAAAATCAATAAATATATTATTTTTTTAAAAAAATCCCACAGAGGAAAGAACCCGGATCCTGGAATTGCCATGGAGGACAGAGCGCCTACCCTGTCCACCCAACACAAGATCTGAACTTGACTGTTTATATCCCTGAGATGCTAGCAGTTAAAACAATAAGCCACTGGCTCGACTCACGTGCAGGATCCCAGTCATAGGAAGCTCCCAGCACTTCCCAGTGGGACTGTGCTGTCTCTTCAGGGGAAACGGAACGCAGGTGGTATTGCTACGGCGCCCAGATGGGCTCCTCAGGGCGGAAGGCACGATAAGAGTCAAGAGCAGATTTTGGAGTCAGACTCCTTGTCTCAAAAGCCTGGCATTCCTAGTCACCAGCTGCTCTGATTTCCTCATGGCCTGATGTCACGAGGAGTTTTGAAAGAAATCATCCCAACAATGAAGGATACACAGTTTTTCAAAATTATTTTGGGATGCATGTGAGCACCAAACTTAGAAAAGCAAGGTTTTAGAGCATATCAGTGGAACAGTTACAAACTCAGTCTCTAAGGCCCCTTTCATATTTTCTAATCTAAAGCTTCAGAATTCTGCCAATAGGGCAAGTACACAAAGTATTTAAGCATATAGTTTATTTAAAGGTTAATCAAATTGTGCCAATTAAGCAACTATTAATCTATACTCAAAATTTTCATGAATAATTTCAAATAGAATTTTTAAATAAACTATTAAATGGCTAAATACCTTATAACTTAGTATCCAATGCAATGTATAATAAGTCAGCATACGAAGATTCCTAAGGGTACATTGAGGTAAATAGCCATCAAAATTACATGAAAATGTGAAGAACTGAAAACTCCAATTGTATTTTTATAACCCTATATATAGCACAAAAGGCCTCATCATACTTTAAAAATATCACACTTTTGTCTGGCTGGGGTTGCTCAGTGGTTAAGCATCAACATATAAACCAGGAGGTCACAGTTAGATTCCCAGTCAGGGCACATGTCTGAGTTACGGGTTTAATCCCCATAGGGGGCATGCAGGAGGCAGTCTATCGATGTGTCTCGCTCATCAATTTTTCTCTCTCTCTATCCCTCTCCCTTCTCCTCTCTCTAAAATCAATAAGAAGTTATTTTTAAAAAAATCACGCTTTTCATTTGCTGAAATGCAATTGTTCCTCATTCACGGACACTCATGTAAAATAGTAACTTTTTATCATGATATACTCACTGAAAAAAAAGCCATATCCACTGCCTGATACCATGCCAGTCTCACCACACCCTAAAAGAGAACTGGTGTGGGAACCAGGCTGGTTTGCTGGAAAGGAAGCTGGCTGCGATGCTTTAACAGACCCTTCCTCCAGGAGTTCTCTGCGCAGGTCTGTGTGAGAGAGGCCTCAGGCTGCACTCACCGTGGGAGTGGAAGTGTCCGTGTCCGTGGTCGTGGCTGTGCGTGTGGTCGTGGCTGTGCGCGTGGTCATGGCTGTGTGCGGTGCCGTGTTTCAGTTCCGGGCTGTGGCAATGGTCTCCGTGGCCGAGGGCCTGGTCCAAGGCACCGTTAAAGAGGGAATGGCTGTGTCCATGGCCTGCGAACAGTGTTAGAACAAAAGGCATGTGAAAATACATTAGCTAGCAGCTACAATAACAATGATGTCAGCAAAGAAAGCTCTAACACCAGACTCAAGTTCATAAACATGCACTTATAAAGTGTTACTGATTCATTACAATAATACTGAGTTCCTACCTCACAGTACAGGAAGGAAATAAAAGCAGAGATTGACAAACAGACCCTAAAATTTATATGGAAATTCAACAAGGGATCCAGAAAAGCCAAAACAATCCTTTAATAAAAAAGAATCAGGCAGGAAAAAAAATCACATATTGCGATTTTAACCCTACTTCAGGAAGCCCAGAAACAAACTCTCACATTTATAGTCAACTGATTGTTGGCAAGGATGACAATTCAGTGGGGGAAAAAAAAGTCATCTTTTTAGCAGATGGCGCTGAGACAATTTGTTATCTAGATATAAGAAAATATTGGACCCATATCTCACACCACACACAAAAATTGACTCAAAATGGGTCAGACTTAAATGTAATCTTAAATGGATGCATTTAACTCCAAAATTTAAGGATGGATCCTCATAAGAAAATCTACGCATGCAGTTACTAATTTTAAATTAACCGGAGGAGGGGAAAACATCATACAATAGACGCAGGAATAATCCTCGGCTGGTAAAGCAGTTTGGTCAGAAATGAGGCCCAGCCATCGGCCCCGGGGAGAGGCTCTGCTAAGGCCCTTCACTCAGCAATGCTCCTCGCCCTGCCTGCTGCTCAGCCCCGCTGAGGGCACGGGGTCAAGCATTCCTCCCGAGGTTCTGGGATAAAACCTGGCATCAGCGCTTTTTAAAAAGCTACCCAGGTGACTGCGCTGGTGGACGCAAGGATACGAGTGAGAAGTGTTTCTCACCAACACTGCGCTCGAGGGCCTGGCTATGCCGTGAGACAAGCAGGCGTGCAAGTTATCTTCTTCACTGGGTGAAAAACTCTCAGCTCCCCAACGATGGGCCACATGGCAAATATTTATATTAAAATGCCTAGTGCAATGTCATAGAGGACGTGGAATCTCATATAAACATGAAATTTAATCTGAGTTGTGTTGCCGGCACCGGTTTGGCTCTGTGGTAGAGCGTCGGTCTGCGGACTGAAAGGTCCCGGGTTCGATTCCGGTCAAGGGCATGTACCTTGGTTGCGGGCACATCCCCAGTAGGGGTGTGCAAGAGGCAGCTGGTCGATGATTCTCTCTCATCGACGTTTCTAGCTCTCTGTCCCTCTCTCTTCCTCTCTGTGAAAAATCAATAATCTGAGTTGTGTCAATTTTTCACAATTAAACGCAGGTAGTGAATTTTTGGTCAAAATTCCAATAAGACTTTTCATAAAAACTTGACAAGCTGATTAAAAACATAAATAAATAAGCAAGACAGACCCAAACAGCCTGGAAAACCAGAGACAGGACTTCCCCTACGAGACAGGAAACCAGGGAGCCCACACTCGGGAGCTCCGTGGGCTGTTCATGGAGAAGGCGGGCTGGGACATGCGAATGGAAGGATCTGAAGAACAGATGATGGCAAGTCTCTCACCCACATGCACTATAATTTTTTAATAACTAGGTTTGTTTTGTGGCTTTGATGTTTGTTTGTCTGTGTTATATAAATGGTGTCATCATCAACAGATGAGCAACACAGGTCTGGAAGGGTCCACACCAAAATCGGAGCACGTGTAAAGAAGATGCTACTGTCTGGTGAGGGGCGGGGAGAAGTGGGAGGGATGGTTCAGGAAGACATTAATAAGAGTAAAGCCTATTAACATTACTTGTGTTATTACAAGTCCAAGTTTAACTTCGAGAATGGTCAGTTTTCAGAAGTGAGTGACTGAGACGGACACCAGGACGTGAAGAGACAGAGGGCTCAGGCCGTCGTACCAGAGCCGTGCGAATGGCCATGGCCTCCGTGCTGGAACACGAATATCCCCACCAGGTTCACCACGAAGCCCAGGACGGAGACCAGCAGCAGGCGCTCGTGGTGCACGTCGGGGGGCGCCAGAGCTCTCTGCAAAACACAAGGCAAGGTTCATCAGGTGACTTCCCCGGGATCCGCTGGTGGGAACAAAGAGCTGCTCTAAAAATCGTTCAGGTCTTTTCAGAATGAAAATTCACTCCAGAAATATCTGCCCACCGTCTCTCGAAAGAAACCCAGTATTCACCACACCCGTGGTCGGCAAACCGAGGCTCAAGAGCCACATTTGGCCCTTTGGCCTCTGGAGTGTGGCTCTTCCACAAAGTACCACGGCCTAGGCTAGTCTATTTTGAAGAAGTGGCGTTAGAAGAAGTTTAAGTTTAAAAAATGTGACTCTCCAAAGAAATTTCAATCATTGTACTGTTGGTATTTGGCTCTGTGTCAGTTTGCCGACCACTGCACCACACTGTAAGAAAGGCAACAATGACCATTTGGTCTGAAGCCCATCCTTCCGTGGCATTTTAGAGCATTGCCTTTCATTTCAAGGTCATTCCCCTTGAAATCTTTTTGTTTCCAGGTACCAAATAAGAAGTCCCCCAACCCCTGTCCCACCCCAGAACTCAGGTTCTCTTAAGAACTCTCCCAGCATGCCTTTACTTTCCAGTGTCAACACTCCATTTGCACCTGCAAAGCACCATTATTTGCTTTCCATTTCAAGTAGGTGCACATCTAGTTCATTTTTCTCAACTATTTCGTAAGCTCCTCCTATAACCCAAGGCTGTCCTCAACACTTCATAATCGTGTGCAAAACAGCTCTATTACATATACGCTTAGCGAATTAAACATCTTCCTTGCATATATAATTTACCAAATCTAGTCATTATCTACTGTACCTCAACTCCTTCTGAGAAAATAAAAAAGGCAGTGAAGATCAAAAACAGCCCATTGACAAAGCCAGCCAGCACTTCCGCTCTGACATACCTGCAGAGCAAAGTAAACAACCGAATTATTAAGTTATTTCTTACAGATCAAACAGGCAACATCAAACGCATGTTCGATGACCCTAACCCACTTTATACGTTATAAGTGGCCAGCAATGACCCAGTGTGTATAGTGCAGTGTGTTTTATTGTATATATATTACAAAAACAAGAACATGAATTTCAATATTATGAATTATGCTGAATAGCAGAAAATATAGATTTCCTCACAGCAATCAGAAGACCTTGGAGTAAGGAGGTGTAGAAAAACCATCCCCAGAAATGTGAAGCTCAGCTTGTCGCTGGAGCAGGAAGAGCAGGACTAAATAGTCAAAGAAGAATCCAAAGAGAAAAAGGGGGAGAAGAGAGCTTGAGAAGGGGGGGGGTTTGTAACTTATTAAACCCTTCTCTCCTAAGGACGCCTTAGGCCCTCTGCTTTGTGTTATTCAGCTTTCAAATCTCTGGGAAGCAGATTTGATCTGAAGGAAAATAAAATTATTTCTCAAGTATCCCTGAAACCACTTGAGATTTCTTTCCTCTCGCTCTTTTTCTAAGATTGAGAAACGCAGCACGAACGCTGACCTGTTTTTAGAATCAATTCCAGCTTCGCATCGTTCTAGTTGAACTAGTTTTTAAAATTCTGCCCCTCTCCCCACGGCCTTCAAGGCTTCCTGCCTCCTGCTCGTGGGAGGCGGCGGGGAAAGGGTTTCTTTCTCCAAGAGGCAGCTCGGGCTTAAAGTCATTAGGAACAACTTGAACTTGGCAGCTTTACTTGTCCAAACATTTTTCAAAGGGCACTCACAGCAGCCACTCACTCTGGTCCTTAAACCATGTAATAGGAGCATCAAGAAGACCGCTTTCTGTAGCTTTCTTTAATGACCCAGAATGGACTTAAGATTTCGTGGCGCCAGGGAAGATGTTCTGAGCATTCAGCCTCTTTGGAGCTCTAGACATAGTGATCCCCTTCTCCGTACTGTAACAACAGTCTGATGGGTGTTCTTGTTTCGCTTTTTATCATTTTACAAGGAACCCTAATCCTTTGGTTATACCGTGAATCAGCAAGTGCTGTCGTAGACTTCATCCTTCAGCACTTGTCAAATGGGTAGTTACTATTTTTACAGAGTCACTCCCCCATCAGACCCCAGGTTCCTCAAGGCAGGTGCTACATCTTACTCGTCTTGCTATCACTGGAGGAGCAAAGCAGTGGCCCTCAAACATCTGAAGAGAATAGAGGATGGGCAAGAAGCAGAGCATGCTTGCTCCAGAGCAAAGGCAAAGCTGGGCAGAAGGAGGAGGTGGTGAGGGAGCAGGAGTCAGAGCATGCTGGAGGAGGGTGGATGGAGGAGGTGGTGAGGGAGCAGGAGTCAGAGCATGCTGGAGGAGGGTGGATGGAGAAGGTGGTGAGGGAGCAGGAGTCAGAGCATGCTGGAGGAGGTGGTGAGGGAGCAGGAGTCAGAGCATGCTGGAGGAGGGAGGAGGGAAGAAAGAGGATGGAGGAGGGTGGATGGAGAACAGGAGGGAGATTATGGAGGTCCTGCACCGGCAAGGGAAGGGAATCAGTGAAAGAAGGACAGACTGCAAAAGCCAGAGCAAAAGGGACTGAAGAGGAGACTGAGGGAGAAGAAGAGGAAGCAACGAAAAGTGCTGAGAGATACAGCAAAGGGGAGGAGAGAGCGGTAGAGAAGAGTAAGAAAGGGATGTGTGGGGGAGAAGGAATGAGCAGACGCAGGCTCAGTAACCGGAAAAAAAGTAGAAACAGGAGAGCAGAAGATGGGAGAGAGAATGAGTCTGAGGATGCACAAGAGTGAGAGGCCAGAGAAAATGGGAGGGAAAGTGAAGAGAGGGGAGACTGTGGAGGGTGGGGGGTGGGAAGGACAAGGAAGGAGTGAGGGAGGAAGCAGGCGGAGGGGGCAGAGAGAAAGCGGGCAGAAGAGAGGAAGAGGCTACTGGTTCTCACCACTTTATACATGGATGTAATTACACTGCAGAATGTCCTATAAGCTAAAAAAAAAAAAAAAAAGAAAACATGCAGGCAGAGTCCATCTGATAATGGGAATACGATTGCTTCCATGCGAAAAGCCAGCTCTGCCCCTCAGGGCCCCAGGGTTGGGGGCCTGACCCTCCAGTGTGAAAACACCCTCCAAATATTTGAGTCACTCTCCAAACTCAGCAAGAGGTGAAGGGTTTCACGTAAAAGCGGAGCTGAAGAGGGTATGCAATTTAAAACCATACTGGGAAAGAATAATTTTAAATAAATCAACAGCAAAATAGCCTCCTAAAAACAAGGACACATGATCATTTGCATAGACTAAAACTTTTTCTTTTTCATCTGCTTCAAAAAACTAGGGTAAGTGTTGAGAAATTCAAAATACCTAGTAACAATCTCACCTACAAATTTTGGGTAAAATCAAGATGCCCTAACCCTAAGCAAAAAAAAAAAACTTAGATGCAAAAACATCCCCGAAAGATGTACATTTTGCAGATGGCAGGGACACAGTGTTCAGAACCAGGCGCCACTACCCCATGCGGTCAGGACGGTGGTTGCCTTGCCTATAGGAAAGAACCAGGAGGAGACAAAAGAGATTCAAGGATTCAAGGAAATCAGGAGGAGATAAAAGAGATTACTAAGTGTGTTCAATTAGTGAAAATTCTTTAAGCTTGAGATTTGTATATTTTTCTGTGTTTCTTACACGTCAACAAAAAGGATTTTTAAAAAAGTCTTACCCATAAGAGAAAGCATCATTATCTCTCCATTTCGAAATAACAGACGCTGCCAACCCAGCCAAAATGGCAGTGCTATCGAAAAACATGTGAAAAGAGTCGGAAATCAGCCCTAAGCTGGAAGAGAACAAACATGGTGGCGTATTAGAATGGTAACCAAATAGAAGGCATCCTTCTCTATAAATCTAAGAGTCGGCTCTGCTCATCAGGAAGGAATCTTCTAGAAAGACAGCAATGAACTATGATAAAGAAGAAAAGGGAGGAGTTGGGGGAAGAACAGTACAGGTAGATCAATTCCATACATTCATTATTCCTTCATTCTTTCACTCAGCAAATATATATCAGGCGTCGGATGTACCATGTGATAAGGTGCCCAAATTAGATCAAAGACCCCTCTTTTGATACCGCTTACATTCTAGTGGCAAGTTGAAAGGCAATGGACACTTAATGGGGGAACACACATAAAGAGGTTATCTGTTCCTCCACTGAAAGACCGTCATCCTCAAAAATATAAACCAATTATAAGTTTTTACTTTACAACAAAGGCTCTGAACAAGAACCAGAATGTTGCAACAAGACCAACTGCTTCTAAGAACTTTTATTTGTGAAGAGTACATTTTATTCATCTTCCTTCTTAAGAGAAAAAATTTGACATTTCATGTTCACAACATCTTGAGCCTGACTTATTACAGAATAAAAATGAACACAGACATTAGAGTGACCAAGTTCCCGTGAGAAATTTACTCTAGGAACTTAAAATTCTAGTGGAACCTTCAGAAAAAGAGATAACCCAGTCACATAAAGAAACTGTTGATACATCAACAAAGTGAACTAAAAATTGTGGTATCTAAAGAAGACATAGAAAACCAGACTACAAAAAGCCCCACACATTTTCTAAATCTGCCAACGCTTCAATGGGAACCCATTTGGATTCCCAGTCCACCAATAAAAATTAATGGTTGTGGATGTGATGATGAACAGGAAGATGAATACCAGCTAACTGAGCGAGGTATTACAGGTACTGGGTCAGTGCTAGATTCCCAATCTAGAATATATCTGGACAAGAGAGCCTTAGGTCAGGAGAGCAAGCCACAGGAGAACAAGTCACATAACACTCATGTTTTCCTTATGTACTTGTGACTTTCCACAATAGCTTGGAAATCAAAGGTTTTAATAATTTCCTCAATAGATCTCTACAGACCAAAAGAAATACTACCTAAAATAACTTTCCATGAAAGCAGTAATCTAGGTAGTCAAATATGAATCCACTGATCAAGGCATTTCACATACCAACTTACGCAATGGTAGCCCACAGTAAAATATAATGTGTTGTAATATAAAGTAACTATGGCAAAACTCTACATATGTAAACCTATAAACCAAGCTAGTTTTGATACAGTCAGCAGATAGGTCACAGTATGGCATAATTTAGGAAGAGTAAAGGATATAAATATTGTATATTTATAATAAATTATGAATATTCCAATACAAGACAATACAGTTGACCCTTGAATAACAGGGAGGTTAGGAACACCCACCTCCTGTGCAGTAAAAAATGCATATAACTTTTGATTCCTAAAAGCTTAACTACTAATAGCCTACTATTCACCAGAAGCCTTACCAATAACACAATTAACACATATGTTATGTGTATTTTACACTGGATTATTTCCATAAAGTAAGCTGGAGCAAAGAGACAATATTATTAAGGAAATCATAAGAGAAAACACACTTGGAGTACTGCTCATATTTGTTGAAAACCATCTGTATGTAAGTGGATCTGCATAGTTCAAATCCGTGTTGTTCAAGGGTCAACTATATGGTGCTTTTAACATGTACAATTCATTGAAGGGGGTTAACATTACAGGACACGTATATCTGATTCCCAGAGGACTCAACATATGATGGTGGTTATGACACATGTTTCAATATGCAGTTAAGATCCAAATGGTCACTCCATGATAACCTTCGTAAGTTGCTGAGTATTACTGACAAAACTGCATTCACGTCTGCACTGAAAAGTAGTCGCACTTTTCATATAAAAGTATATACAGGTCACCAAAGCTGGTGATATTATCTAATGTCATTGCTCAATTTCAACAGTGATAAAGCTCAAGGACAGCAAGTGTCTGTGAAAATGGCCTTTCGTGAACAGAGACGACATCTACTTAATGAACAGAACACAAAGCGTAGATGGCATAGGTTCTTAATCGGGGGTCAGAGAGCTGCGACGGGAACCCAAGACCCCCTGAATCTTATGTAAAAGACTGAGGGCTGACTATCATCAGATTCTCAAATGGATATGAGACTTAAAGACAATCACTACACCCGGAAGTGTGATGATTCTATTGTTGGTTGAACAATTTTATAAGGCCCTTAAGTGATCCAACGGCAAACAACTAGAGTGTAGTATTTCATTTCCATGGTTAAACTGGTTATACCTCTTCCCAAAGCAGTTAAAAAAAAAAATCAACAAAAACAAAAGTAACACTAAACATCATGAGAGGTAAGCTTTTTAGGAAACTCTATGGGATTCCCTACTGCAGGCAAGACGAGAGGGAACTCCTGAGACAGTTTCAGCATAAAATTAAAACAGAGAAGTGAATGAAAGAGCTGACACTTGTCTGTCTGGATGTCCCCTGTATAAACCTCCTCCGGGTTCCAAGATCTCACGACAAAGTATCGATAAGTAGAACATCTCCGGTATTCCCTCTCCGAATCCTAAGGATGAAATCCAAATGCCACTCCCCCACAGACAGCCAAGGACACTCCCCCGGGAGACAGGAAATGCGTTTCTCTCAATCCCAAGAAAGTGGACAAAGAAGCTAAGGGATGTGGAAAGACGCTCTCCCCCTGCCCAAATGAGGGGGGGACTTGTCACTCTTGTTGGACAGAGTGGGGGCGGGGGGGGGACACTAAGGAGGGGGGAAAGCGGGGACCCATATCGTAAGAACTGCTGCACGCGGTGGGCCCCGATGTTAAGAAACAGTAGCCACCAGACAGGTGTGGACAAGAGGAAGCAACTGGGCAGCAGAGGCGGCGGCACCGGCGGGACCTGACCCTCCCGGCGACTAGCTACGTGGCATTCAGCAAACAGAGCCCAGTCTCCGCCACCCGGGCTTCCGCCCCAGCCCTTCCCCCTTCGGTTACCAGTTGCTCCAGATGCCGTAGAGGAGTTCCACAAAAGCGAAGGAGAGGTTGAGGCACAGGAAGAAAAACAGGTTCCGAGACGTCTTGTCCGACAGGATCGACCTGGGCACGACAAAGTGGGGAAAGCCCGCGAGTCCAAGCGGGGCCGGGACCCGGACGCGGGCCCCCCCTCTCCAGACGCTCCCGGTCCCCAAGGGAGGGTGACCCTAGCGCCCCCTTCCCTGCACCTCGGGCCACGCTTCAACCTGGACCTTGTCCCCACTCCCCGCACACAGGGCACCCCGCACCTAAACCAGCCCGAGATCTTGCCCAACAGATTGAACTTGGGTGGTTTGTATTCATCGTCCTTGATGGACAGGGGCAGCATCTTCAATGCCCGGCGAAGGGCCGGGTCTCCCGCGCTCTGGAAGTGGCTCCGTGGGTGATGGTGGTGACAGCGGTGATGCCTGCGGACGGGAATCCCCCCGCGATCGTCCCGGGCCGCGCGCCGATTACAGACACAGACACAGACACGGACACACGCCCGGGAACACGCCGACTTCCGGCCCGGGCCGCGCAACGCGTCCTGGGACGGGGAAGGGGGCGGGGCAGTGGGCGGGGCTTGAGCGGTGGGCGTGTCGTGTGTGGTGGGCGGGGCTTAGGGCTGGCACCACGTTGCTGCCGCGCAGCCTCCGTGGGGTTCGGAGGGGATGGCAGGCAACGCCGAGGGGTCTGAGGCGCCGCGATCCGCCCCCTGGAGGCAACTCCTGAGGTGAGGCGGCCGCTCCCGGCTTCCACGCGACCGCCTCGTCACGACGTCCCCGGAGGCGCGGCGGCCTGGGCCCGCCCCGTCGCTACATCCACCGATCGAGTTCTACCCCGGCGCGGGCGGCAGCAAAAGCCCGGGGATGCGGGGGGCGACGCATCCAGTCGCCGCCATTCCGCAGGCAGCGCCCGTGACGGTGTCGCAGGGTGCCCTCCACGGGCCACCCCGTGCCGGTGGCCCGGCCAGCCAGTCCGAGCACGGCGCCGGACCCCTCCGTGCGGCCACGCGCGACCGTGGGCGGGTGTGGTCCTGAGGGACGCGGGTGCGGGGAGCCTCGTCCCGGGGACACTCCCCCGGGCGCCTCTCCGGGACTTCGTAGGGGAGGGTCAGGTGCGTCACGTGAGTGACCCCCACTGTCACCTGCGGGGAGGAACGGGGCCCCGCAGGACCGGCTCGTGGTGCGGCGGGACAGGAAGTGGGGCGTCCCCTACTCCGGTTCACCCCGCAGCACGGCGCCGCTGGCTTCGGGAAAAGGCACCCGTGGGCCGGCGAGGCGCCCCCTCCGCGTGTGACACCGAAACTCGGGCTCCGGCCGCCTCTGCCCTCCCAGGTGAGTGAGCCGCAGAAAGGTTTGGGGGGGGGGGGGCGGGTGCGTGGTTTTTTCTTCGGGTCCTGGGCCTTCGTTGGAAGGGGTGGCGGGGGTAGAGAGTGTGGCCTGTTTTATTTTTGAAAATATCATTTACTTACTCTCTAATTCAAGAAAGAAAAAAAAAAGTGTTCCTCTTCGTTCCAACCGCGGTGCAAAGAGATCCCGGGAATTTAAGTTCTGGGGAGGGTGTTTGGACTCTGCGTCTATGTCACAAGTCCTTTCCCTTCAGCGTAGGGATGTTTTCCTTTAGTCGCATGTACTTCTGTTAGCCACAGACTTTGAACTTCACTCGAGCTCGAAGTGGGTGCACACCAGGTGAGGATAGGTCAATATTTCCGTGGCAACTGGGTTTTCCTACAGACCTGCTTTATTTCAACGTGCTGTAACTTAAAGGGGGAGAGGGGGTCTGGGAATAACCAGATCTCAGCCACTGATTCCCCGTAACTCAAGGTCAGCTGCAGCCGAAGCCTGTTTTTGTCGTCTGCCTTTGAAATAATCAGCGGGGTGATTCCCAGGGGAAGAGGGGGTGGGAGGGGGAGGGTAGAGGAGGAGGGAAGAGGACTAAATGGTGATGGAGGGAGACTTGACTTGGGGTGGTGAATGCCCTGTACAATGTACAGATGATGCATTATAGAACTGTACCTCTGAGACCTATAGAACTTAATTAACCAATGTCACCCCAGTAAACTCATCAACGAAAAGAAAAAGAAATTGTGCATTTTAGCATTGCTATCCATTGCCCCACTGGTTTATGCAGAAATTGTTTCACATAGTTTTAAAATGCATTGGGGAAATCAAAGTTTAATTTCGGGTATATCGGGACTCCCAAATTCCACCAGTCTCCACCCCAAAGACATAATGAAGTACTGGAAGGGCCTTCTTTCAAAAGGGTCAATGCCACTCAAAGCATCCAGCCTTGGGTGGCATAACTATCGACTTCAACACTCAGGCTTTGGGGATTTATAAATTGGACCATTTAAATCAGGAAAAGTTGCTGGGACTGGTTTGGCTCAGTGGATAGAGTGTCGGCCTGCGGACAGAAAGGTGCTGGGTTCGATTCCGGGCAAGGGCATGTACCTTGGTTGCGGGCACATCCCCAGTAGGGGGTGTGCAAGAGGCAGCTGATCGATGATTCTCTCTTATCGATGTTTCTAACTGTCTATCCCTCTCTCTTCCTCTCTGTGAAAAATCAATAAAATAAAAAAATTAGGAAAAGTTGTATGAATGGAAAATGTCCGTGTCTCGCTTCTTTAGTCATCATGAAGAAATACTTGTCTATGTACATTAACCAACATATGTTGTCAGAGCTAAAGCTAGTTTCTTTCATTCCTTCAATAATCACTTAGTGTCTATTGTATGCTAGGCTCTAGACGGGTTAGGAGAAGGAAATGGGTTACTGAGGAATTGCATGGAAGAAGCTGAGGAGAGGGGGTTAGTGACAGGCAGATCTGCTCAGGGTTTTTGAACTGTGATGGGTAAGTGCACAGAGCTGCCCTTGGTACCTCGGGGAGGGACAGCTATCATTCAGTGAGTCTTTGGTGCATACTAAGTCCTCCTTTTGCCCTTTCCATAACTTGTATCATGAAAGGAAAATAAAAAAAGATTCTTCAGCTCTTTTCTGGTGGGCATTACAGATGCACTATCTTAGAAGTCTCCAGATTCTTGATTCCTTCGTGTTACAAGATGACATGGTTGTATAAGATTGTAAAATAGATGGCATGTAATGAACATTTTAAAACTAATAAATGGATCTCTACTTTGAACATTTTAATAACTACTTATATCCTCTCCTACTAATTAACTGCATTAGGTTAACTATGCAGACTCTCTGGGGGAATAAAACCAGCTTTTCAGACATGTGATAGAGGGCTGTAAGAAATGAGAACAGAGAATTAAAGGGCAGAACCTCATCTGCAGCCAGAGTTCTAGCTCCTTTCGGGCAATAGTCATGGAGGAATCGGAAGGGTGTCACCTGCCATTCCTCAGTCACCAGCCCTGGCATTTATCTGCAACCCTATTTAAGGTGCCATGGTTTTTAGATGTTTCACATTGAATGCCTTGTGATCCTTTAGTGAAAAAAGGAGCTGTGGTGGTGGATAAAACTAGGGTACTTAAGAATCTAGAAATGGAATACAAGTAATTGCTAATGCGTTTAGAGAGTTTGCTCTATGACATATATATTCTGGTTTCAAATGTATAAACACACAAGATAGTGGGGATGATCTGTGCTTATTCTGCTTCTGGAAAGAGGCAAACAAAAATGTGGAAGTGTTATCACCAGCCTATAGGATGGCATTATCTACCTTGTTACCTAAATGTGATTTTTAGAGCACAGAATAGCAAATTTTAATTTCCAGAAATAATTCAAAGCCTGTGGACAATGACATTGAAAGAATTTGTTTAAGTGTTTCTGCTGATTGACAAAAACATCACAGACAGTTCTTTTATTTCCCTTAATAGTGTCAAGAGAGTCTGTTCCTATCAATTACTGAAGCCATCAGGAAAAAAAATTGAGCTATCATGATGAGGTAAGTATCAGTATTTTTTTGGCTCTGTTTAAGTTGTGATATAATACACATATTTGCCATCTTAACCATTTTTAGTGTACAGTTCAGTAGGGTTAAGTATGTTTACATTATCAAACAACCCATCTCTGGGACGTTTTCATCTTATAAAACAGAAATTCTGTACCCATTAACTCCCCATTTTCCACTTCCCCAGACCCCTGCATCTATCATTGTACTTTCTGTTTCTATGAAATTGACTACTTGAGGTTCCTCATATAAGTGGAATCATAGAGTATCTGTCTTTTTGTGACTGGCTTATTTCATGTAGCACAATGTCCTCAAGGTTCATCCATTTTGTAGCATGTATCAGAATTTCCTTCCTTTTTTACGGCTGAATAATATTCCACTGTATGGATATACCACATCTTGTTTATCTCTTGATGGACATTTGGATTGCTTCTACCCTTTGGCTATTGTGAATAATTCTGCTATGAATAGGGGTGAGATACGTGTATTCTTATTAGAGAAAAAACATTCCCTATAGAGGTAACTTTGTTTCCTTGGAAATAAGGTGGTTGGTTTTTTTTTAATATATTTTATTGATTTTTTACAGAGAGGAAGAGAGAGGGATAGAGAGCTAGAAACATCGGTGAGAGAGAAACATCGACCAGCTGCCTCCTGCACACCCACTATTGGGGATGTGCCCGCAACCAATGTACATGCCCTTGACCGGAAACGAACCTGGGACCTTCCAGTCCACAGACCGACACTCTATGCACTGAGTCAAATCAGTTTCTGCAATAAGGGGGTTTTTGTTTGTGTGGGTTTTTTTTTTTTTAATAGAATTTTATTGATTTCAGAGAGGAAGAGAGAGGGAGAGAGAAATAGAATCATCAATGATGAGAATCATTGACCAGCTGCCTCCTGCACACCCCCCACTGGGGACCAAGTGCAAAACCTGGGCATGTGCCCTTAGCTGAGATCGAACCCAGGACCCTTTAGTCCACAGGCCGATGCTCTATCCACTGAGCCAAACCAGCTAGGGCTGGAAATAAGTTTTTGCTTGAGCCATGGTCTATTAGAAATACTGTCATGTATCTTTTTTATCTTATTTATTAAAATAGTAATTCCTATTATAGAGGAAAATCAATACCTATAAAATTGAAATAGTCTTGTAGACTAGATCAAAGCTGAAATTACAGAAAGACCCTAAAAATATAAAGAGACTCAAGTGTGAGAGTCGGGAGCTTGTTCTGACCTACCACTCTTCCAGTGGCTCAGCAAAAAAACTTAATATTCTCTATGTCAGCGATTCCATCCAAGAAATGGGATGGATACATTTTACTTCCCTTCTTTATACTTTGAGAAACTATGTAACATAAAGGGGAAAGGGCCTAACCATTTGCATTACTATCAGTAAGCTCTGTGAGGGCAGAAATTGGGTGGGCCAGTTCCTTACCAGCCCTAGAGCCTGACAGTGCTGGGCGCGCAGTAAGCCCCAATAAATGTTTGTTGACTGACAGGTGTCTACCACGGATATATTTTATATATCCTTTCCTTTAATAAAGTTAGAAAGCCCATATGAATTGAGATTGCTTCCATGTTAGCTCTGATATCTAAAACTGTTTATACATTATGTGTATGAAAATCTGTTTCTCTCAGAGAGGTGATTACAGATGAGAGCCAGTTGCTGAAAGCCAGTATTGTGTATGTACTAGTGAATACTGGGAGAGGGGCCCATAGAATATTCCAGTCTTGCCTCCCCTCTTTTTCCGTGTGCCTAAAACAGAGAGAGGTTCACATGCAAAGCTCCAGTACCCGGCCCGGCCTGGTGAGAGTGATGTGTTTACAGCGGTACTGTGCTTCTTTCCGACTCATTTCTGGAACTAATTTCGAATAGCACTGTGCTGAGCTAAAAATGCCGTTCTATTTCTAGGCTTTCTTCATAGAATGCATTGACGCCTCGCATCCTTACGGTCATAATGTTCTCTTAGGAATAAGGCCACTCCTTTCTCTGCCCCAATCTATGTCACTTCCAAACCCCATCATCATCATCATCACACAGGAGCTCCAATCAGGAGGCAATTCCAGGAGAAAGATGTCGGGCTAGCAGGAGATTTTATCCAGCACAATTCAGACCTGTGCACTCCGAGGGGAAAGAGGACCCCACTGTCTGCCTAGTAACAAACAGCTGGTTCCAGGAGGCAGGGCTTTGAAAAAACTTCATACATACAGTATATGTTACTTCCTTCTAAATCAGTGATGATAAAGCAACCTAGCTCATAGATAATGGCTGCTTAAAGAAGTATTGAGGAATGTGAGCTGGGTGGGCAGGGGTTGGGGGGGGGGGGCGTAGAATGCCAGATTGCTGGGCAGTTTTCACTGTGGAAAATGCCATAAGGTCTTTCTTTTTTTTTTTCTTTTTTTTTTTTTTTTTAATATATCTTATTGATTTTGTACAGATAGGAAGGGAGAGAGAGAGAGAGTTAGAAACATCGATGAGAGAGAATCATCGATCAGCTGCCTCTTGCACACCCCCTACGGGGGATATGCCCGCAACCAAGGTACATGCCCTTGACCGGAATCGAACCCGGGACCCTTCAGTCCCCAAGCCGACGCTCTTATCCATTGAGCCAAACCGGTTTCGGCCATAAGGTCTTTCTTAAGAGACAAGTATATACCCGAGAGAGATGAAAACACATTCACATAAAAACTTGTATATGAATGTTCATAGCAGCATTATCCATAATAGCAAAATGTGGACTCTTCCTGTTTGGCGTATAGGTCTTTTGTCTGCAGCTGCCAAGCAGGAGGATCCAGGAGGGAGGGTCATTCATTTTTTTTTTTGCCCCCCCTCCCTCTCATACATACCCTCCCTCCCCAGAGTTTTGTGTCCATTGGTTGTACTTATATGCATGTATACAAGTCCTTCGGTTGATCTGTTATCTCCCCCAGATCTCCCTCCCCTCCCCACTGTAATGTGACAGTCTGCTTGTTGCTTTACTGTCTCTATATCTATCTTTTGGTTCATCAGTTTATAATGTTCTTTATTATCCATAAATAAGTGAGGTCATGTGGTGTTTCTCTTTCATTGATTGGCTTATTTCACTCAGCATGATGCTCTGGGGGCCTTTTTATTTTTGCCTTAGCCCAAATCACCTTGTCAGGGAGGCAGGGAAAGTGAACTTGAACCTCGTAAGATAAAATGAACCGATTTTCTCATTAACAAGCACAGAGACGCATGAGAAGGCTGATGTTTTGTTTCCATTGCTCCTCCAGGTGTTGCCACATCTGCAAACTTCCCGGCCGAATGCTGGGCACCCGCGTGCTCCGCCTCTCCCTGGTGGCCGTCCTCGTGCTGCTCCTGGTGGCTGGGGCGCTGACCACTCTCCTTCCCAACAACAAAGACGACAAGATGCTGTCGTGGCGGAGGGAGGTGAAGGCCCAGGGCCAGTCCGCCCTGGCTTCCTTCACTCTCATCATGCAGACGTACAACAGGTCTGATCTGCTGCTGCGGCTGCTCAATCACTACCAGGCGGTGCCGCAGCTGCACAAAGCCATCGTGGTGTGGAACAATGTTGGGGAGAAGCCTCCGGAGGACTTATGGAACTCTCTGGGGCCGCACCCCGTGCCCGTGATCTTCAAACCCCAGACCACCAACAGGATGAGAAATCGGCTCCAGGCCTTCCCAGAACTGGAGACCCAGGGTGAGTCATAGCAACACAGGGAGCTGGATTGTACGCGCGGATGGCTGGACTCCTCCTGTCTTTAATGGCCTAGAGAAGATGCGGGAAGTTTAGTCATTAGAAAGCACTTTGAGAACTTCAGGGACAGTTCCCAGGATGTCAAGCAGCTTCGTGTGGAGGAAAGCACATACATGTGATAGCAGGGACAAGAGGTTGTGATTGCGAAGGCAGATATGCTGTGCTTGCACATGCTGCATCACAGAGGTAGCGGAGGCCACATATGCTTGCCACCGCCTTCTACATAGCAGTCACACAGGTTATCATTTGCTTTAAAGAACCTCGGTGTTATTTATATATAGTTTCTACAAAAATAGGTGATAATTTCCCCCTCAGACAATCATAAAAATCAATTGCCGTTCAAATCAAAATTTCTGCTAGACAAGTCTCTCCAAGAATACAGTTACTTACTAATTTTGTTAGTACCTCGTGTGAACAATCTATATAGACACTGGTGCATCTTACTCATTGTGTTTTCATTTCCAAATGGTTCGGTTTTCAATTTTTCCCTTTCATTTCAGCGGTGTTAATGGTCGATGACGACATGCTGATTAGCGCCCAAGACCTTGTGTTTGCTTTCTCCGTTTGGCAGGTAAGGTTGCCCAGTCTTTTGTGAACTCTTCAGCCTGGAGTCCTGTCTGGTGTTAGCTAGAGCAGTGTGGGTTTTGTGGTGTCATCCAACACAGCTTGGGCAGTTTTGTCCAAAGGAGAGAGTCATTTGTGACGTGGTCATCGAGCCTTCCTGTGCTCCGTTAAGCCAGCCTGCAGGTTATGCCGTCCTTTATCCCGTATTTGACTTATATGTGAGGTTCTGGGGGGAGAGCAGTGCGGAAATGACCTTGTGTGTGGTCCAGCAAAGACTGGCATCCAGAAATGTTTTCGCAGGGGCACAGGCATGTCTCAGATGAGAAGTGTATTTTTGTATTAACCTTCGTTAAAACAAAACAATCCTTATAGCCAGAAAATTTACTCCTGATTCTGTGGTCATTGTTTGGAAGTCAATAATAACAATTCTGCATGCACCATTGCTGTGACAAGTGTGTGTGGGTTTTTTTCCTAAATCCCGCTGGATGACCAGGCACAGATTGCTCAGCAGCCCACCATTCTAAAAATACAGCACTTCCTGCTGACCGTGTGTTAGCTGTGGCTGACTTTTAGCAGTTGCACTACAGTTACCTGAAACCACACTGCAGACAAATACTGAAACCCTGTCCAACATTTAAACAAGGTGCTCCCCAGTAAATGGTCTGATTTGCACGGTAGTAACCTCCTTAGTTAGAATTCTGTTGCATCCCCTAAAATGTATTTTTTGCTGATCTGACAAAAAATAGGTATAATTTTTATTTACTCACACAAGACAGCTATTGTATTGGCTGTTGTCATTTTTTTTTTTAATATGGCAATCTAAGGGGAAAAAGATCAGTGCTCCTGACTTAGTCAGATATTACATGTTTTAAACATTCTTATAGCAACCTGTTGAAAATAGTTGGATTATAATATAGTTAAGATTATGTGCTCTCCTAAGGGTGGTTTTGCTCATTTCAAAGGTGTGCTAAGGGCCAGGGCTTGTGTAAGGCAAAGAGAAACCTTTTACTAAAGAAGTCATAGGCCTGGGGAATGACTACCCACCATAACTTGCCCAATTAGGAATTTATGATCAGATCACCATGAGGTTATTTTCCATAGAACCCCTTTTCCATGCGCACTTTGAAATGGGATTTAAACCCTGCTAGAGAGAGAGAGAGAATGAGGATGTGTGTGTGTGTGTGTGTGTGTGTGTGTGTGTGTGTGTGTGAGAGAGAGAGAGAGAGAGAGAGAGATATTCTGGTTTAGTGTCTCTTCTTACCTCTTTCACATGCTTTACTGGTTTTCTTTTGCTTGTTGATTTGTTTTAGTCACTCTACCCTTAATAATATTGTGTTACTGTGTCCTTTCTTCAGTCATCCTGACACATCTCATTTTATATATACATACATACATACCCACATACACACACACTCTAATGACCTGTTGCAGGAATATACATGCAAGACTCCCACTACCGCCACCTCTCCTGCTTCCCCACCTGTCCTGCCTGCCCCAATGCGCCCGCGGCCACCACTGCCACCATCTCCGAGGCTGCACGCACTGCCACCACCGCTGCGCACCTCGCCTGCCCCACCCCGCACGCGCAGCCAGTGCTTTTCCTCCAGCAGCTGCAGCCGCCTTGCTTTCCATTTTCCCTCCCTCTTCCTTCTATGCTATCTTCAGTTTCACTCCTCCCTCCCTTCACGTATACAAATTAACCACCATCTTTGTTGGGTTAATTTGCATACTCTGGTTGGTGGGCATGGCTGGTGGGTATAGCGGAGTGATAGTTAATTTGCATATTACTCTATTATTATGTAGGATATATATATTCATATTTTTTAAAAGGAAACACCAGGCTGAAAAGGGATAAAGATATAACATTGTCTAAAAACTCAACAGTGACTTTCAGGAAATTTGGTATCAACATGGAAATACAGTGAACTCGTACATGTAGACTCATAATCCAAAGAGATTGGAACAGTTTTCAAAAGAATTGCACTATGTCATGTTTCCTGGAATATGCAGCATTCATACAGCCTGAGGTGAGCTGGTAAGATCCAGCCTCTGGTGACTAGAAGTGATGGATACAGACTGTGTTTGAATCAGAATGTCTGTGAGGCTAGGGATTTGGGCTGTGAAGGAATTTGGCTGTGAACATGTCAGGACCTGGACATGCGAAGTTGCCTTGGAGTTCAGTGAAACAGGAACAAAATGAAGCTAGCAGATTTACTTCCTTCTCTCTGTAATAAGTCATTACCTTTCCACTATGTCTGCTCCAAAGAAATGTCCACTCACTTGTTCTTTTTCCATCTGTTCAGCAATTTCCTGACCAAATTGTAGGATTTGTCCCCAGGAAGCATGTTTCCACTGCGTCAGGCGTCTACAGCTACGGAGGCTTTGAGCTGCAGACACCGGGCGTGGGGGACGGTGACCAGTACTCCATGGTGCTGATTGGGGCCTCGTTCTTCAGCAGCAAGTACCTCGAGCTCTTCCAGAGGCAGCCCGCAGCCGTCCACGCCCTGATCGATGACACGCAAAACTGTGATGACATTGCCATGAACTTCCTCATTGCCAAGCACACGGGGAAGACTTCGGGGGTGTTTGTAAAACCTGTAAACATGGGCAACTTGGAAAAAGAAACCAGTGGGGGCCATTCGGGAATGTGGCATCGAGCGGAGCACTTCCTGCAGAGGTCTTACTGCATCAATAAGCTCGTCAGCGTCTACGGCAGCATGCCCCTCAAGTACTCCAACCTCATGATCGCTCAGTTCGGCTTTCCCTATGCCAACCACAAAAGTAAGCTGTGAACGCCAAGCAGAAACAAACCTCACACGGCTTAGCAGTTGAGTAGCTTCTTCACACTGGTTGCTTGTTTGTTTGTTTTTAAGCAACATCATGAACCTTTATCCACTCTGGAAGTCTCTACAAAGGAAAAAAATTGCAGCACTTCTTGGATGTAAAAGCCACATGAACTCCAAAACCCAAGAGCCAGGGAGGTCTTGTGAGGAGTGTTCCTGGACATAACTCCTGGGTCAGTGACTTGATCATGCATTCTGAAATGTCCCTATGGTTTCTTTGATGCCTGGCATTTGCCTTAAGGACCCATCGTGAGCTGTTCCAGGAATAGGAGCGTTTCAGCTTTTCATTAAAGGACAGTCACTTACATTTGAAGCCTGAGATGCTTCTTGGCAAAGCCCGTGGAGTTGGGAAAAGGCACAAGGAACGCTGGGTCTCACCCGCATCACACACTGGAACTTTCCTGACTCGGTGTTCAGCGTCCCTGTGGTCCCTCAGCCAGCCTTCCCAGGGCTGACTCAGCCTGGCTCGGCTTTGGGGCAACCATTGTGCTTTTCTTTCTGTCCATAAGTCTTCTGGACTCTGGGCTTCATGTAATAGCTGAAGGACGTCTCTGTTCCGCTTGATCTCCATAAACGTTTCCTGCATGGATCACGGGAAAGTGCAGCTACTGTTTTTATAAGCAGCTAACACGAGGCGAAGAGTCAATGTTTTACCAGGTTCAGGTAGTGCATTTTTGTCACTGAGTCTGACCTTGAGATGGTACATTGGTTTTTATATTTTATAAAATATCCCTTCTGAAAGAATGTTGAGTAGGCACAGGCGGAAGTCGAAACTCTAGTATCAAAATATCTTTACTATTGGGGTATAGGTTATCACATGGATGCTAGATATGTGTATTATACACAGTCTCTTGCATTCGGAACTTTTTTTTCCCCTCCCCCAAAAAAAGATGTAAGGCACTATTTATCATGAGATTTTGATTACACATAGATACAGGAAAAAATAAGGGATTTTTCTCATGGAAGAGGAATTCTTTAGGGTGTCTGCACAGGTTACCTTACATTGCCCACGCTGCTGTATGAGCTCGTACGTGTTCCACGGTATGTGTTTGGTCCTTGCTCACCACTGGCAGTAAGGAGCACTTACTTACGTGGGCCCTCCTCCACCTCCCATAATGCCATTCTCTCCCCACAATTGCAAAACTGTGAAAATATTATCATAATCCTGGTTTATGTTCCAACAATGAGGCCTTTGTGTAGTTAGTCCAGTATGTGTTATTTCTTTTGCATTGGCATGTGTGTGTGAGCTAATACAGTCAGATAAAGCTAATAGAAAGCAGAACCTCTCTAAGAATGTAATGTTAGTTATCTGCTCTGTCCTCTTGGGATTGCACTGTCATATAAATAAAATGAGCTTTTACCATTCAGGTGTTCTGTGTTAATTAAGCAGATTTGTGTTTTTTACAAACCTCTCAAGTGTTCTAATACATAGCTCAGGGGAAGGCAGGGGCATTCTCTACATTCCCCACTGGATTAATATTCCCAGATTTTTTTTTTCCATTTGTGTTCTTAAACTTAAGCATCACTAAGTTAATTATATCACCAGGCCTCTATCCTATCTAATAAAAGAGTAATATGCAGATTGACCATTCACTCCAACACACAATATGGCTGCCCCCATGTGGACACAAGATGGCCAGCAGGGGAGGGCAGTTGGGAGAAACCAGGCCTGCAAGGGTGGACAGTTGGAAGCAATCAACCCTGCAGGGGAGGGCAGTTAGGGGCAAACAGGCTGGAAGGGGAGCAGTTAGGCATCAATTGGACTGGAATGGGAGTGGTTAGGGGGTGATCAGGCTGGCAGGCAGAAGCGGTTGGGGGCAATCAGGAAGGCAGGGAGGCAAGCAGTTGGGAGTCAGCAGTCCTGGATTGTGAGAGGGGTATCAGACTGCCCGTTTAGGCCTGATTCCAGTGGACGGTTGGACATCCCTCGAGGGGTCCCAGATTGGAAAGGATGCAAGCTGGTCTGAGGGACACCCCCCATCCACTTCCGTGCACGAATTTCCTGCCCCCAGCCTCCAGCTGATAATAAGTGCCATTAATTGTATAACCTACCAGGAAGATATTAGAAAAGCCTCTGGCCCACCAGGTGACACATATTCTAGAAGGTGTTTCTACATAATGGGTAGAGAACCACCGCCATTTTCATTTCATTTTCTTTATGTCAAATGCCCGTTTTCTTATTAAAAAATAAAAGCTCTGCTGGGTACTTCAGTTGGTTACAGCATCATTCCAATATGCCAAGATTGTAGATACAATCCTTTGCTGGTATATACAAGAGTCTACCAATGAATGCAAAGATGAGTGGAACAAAAATCTCAATCTCTCTTTCTCTCACACTCTGTCTCTCTCCCGCCCTCCTTTCCTGCCCTCTCCTCTCCTCTTCTTTTCTCTCCTCTCCTTTCTTCCTCCTTTTTCCCCTCTCATAGGGACTCAATAATAACCCAAAATTTTGTCAAAAATGCCCTCAGTGTGAGCCGAATGCAAAGAACATTTGATTCACAAAACTATTATACATTCCATGTTCGTAGCCTGGGACCCGGATGTAGGTCTCAGCCCCGGATAGAGGTCTGGGTTCTGGGAGGGTTGTTTGGGCCAAGGAGGTATGTCTATGCCCCGGGGAGCGGTCTGGTACCTCACCTGGACATGTGGGTTATGGAAATGGTGGTCTGGGTTACAAATTGAGAAGTACACCCAGGATACAAGTCTGGATTCTGTGTTTGAGGCCTGGGCCCCGGGATAATCTTCTCGGCCCCGCCATGATAGTCTGGGTCCCGAATGTAGGTATGAGCCCCAGGTGGAGGTCTGGATCCTGTGAGGGCCTTTGGGCCTGGAGAGAAATCTGAGCCCCCGGGGCAATCTGGTACCTCACTGGAACATCTGGGTTATGGAATAGTTGTTGGGGTTATGCTTAGAGATCTAGTCCTTTATTACAACTCTGTGTTCGAAGTTTGTGACCTGGGCCCAGGGTTGCCCTTCTCTGCCCCCCTATGAAGGTCTGGTACGGGGATTTATTTTTTTTTTTATTTTTAAAAAATATATTTTATTGATTTTTTTAGAGAGGAAGACAGAGGGATAAAGAGTTAGAAACATCGATGAGAGAGAATCATCGATCAGCTGCCTCTTGCACACCCCCTACTGGGGATGTGCCCGCAACCAAGGTACATGCCCTTGACTGGAATCGAACCCCGGACCTTTCAGTCCGCAGGCTGACGCTCTATCCACTGAGCCAAACCGGTTTCGGCTGGTACAGGGATTTAGGTATGGGTGCTGTAGCAAGGTGTGGTCACTAAGGGGCGCTGTGGGCCTAAATGGGAGTTTTGGGGCTAGGGTGGAATCTCGTGATGATGAAATGGTGGTCAGGACTAGCCTGGATATTTGGAATGCAATTAAGGAATAGGCACTGACTTCCAGTACGGTTCCCCAGAATGGCCTTCTGTCTCCTCGCCATAATGGTCTGTGACAAGGAGGTAGGTCTGAGCCCCGGACGGAGGAGGTCATTGGCACTTGTGCTTTCCCCCAGGTACCCTTCAGGTGTCTGTTCAAATGTAAGGCTCTCTAATGTCTTATTTATATGCTTAGAACCACCCCAGTTTATTTTTCTCTGCAGTGCTTACCATTATTTGACTATATTTACTTATTCATTTACTGGTCTGTCTTTCCCCTCTAATGATATGGAGATTTTACTCTTATACAATCTGTGATGGTTACCAGTAACTTTTGAACATATCCATTGAAACTTGACCAATATCTAAGCAATATCTACAACACTCCTCTCCCCTGCTTCCAAGTTTGGTGTCCTGTTGCCATGATTGGTCCTTTCCTTCTTTCCCTCTTCCCTCCAAGAAAGATACCTGGGATTTCCAGACGTGTGTGAGTAGTGGAAAGTAATCCAAAGCATTTTAAAATGTTATTCTTGATTAACAAATCAAACTGGTTTACTGGTTTTGTCTCCTATTCTTTGGGAGATTTGTTAAAATTACTGATTTGTCAAAATTTTTCTGGGCTCCTACCATGTGTCAGGCACTGTACTGGGCTCAGAGATTGCAATGATTGACATGTTTCATGACCTAATAAAATGGGAGCGATACATCCCTGACCGGTTTGGCTCAGTGGATACAGTGTCAGCCCGGGGACTGAGGAGTGCCAGGTTCAATTCCAGTCAAGGGCATATACCTTGGTTGTGGGCACAGCCCCAGTAGGGGGTGTGCAGGAGGCAACTGATTTATGTTTCTAATTCTCTATTCCTCTCTGTAAAAAATCAGTAGAGTATATATCTTTAAATATATTTTATTGACTTTAGAGAGGAAGGAAGAGGGAGCGTGAGAGAGAAACATCAATGATGATAGAGAATCATTGATTGGCTGCCACCTGCACTCGCCCTACTGGGGGATCAAGCCTGCAACCCAGGCATGTGCCCTTGGCCAGATTCAAACCTGGGACCCTTCAGTCCACAGGCTGATGCTCTATCTTTTGAGCCAGACCAGTTAGGGCAATAAAGTTACCTTAAAATGGGAGAGATAGAAATCACAAATAAATGCAATTCCTAGGGATAAGGGTTTAATAGATGAACAAAGTGCTATGGGAAACAGTGGATGCTTTAAAAAAAAAAAAAAAAAAATAGAGGAGGTCAGCGGCCCTCCCAGCTCCCAGCTTAAAATCTATCTCTATGTCTTCTCTCTTTATTTCTAATATTTCTCAATCCCTGGCCACCTCCACTTAGAACCGGTTCGTTCATCTCTCTTTAAGTGCGGGACACGGAAAAGGGAGATCCCCGCCATCAAGCCCCCGCAATTGATAAGTATTATTGATTGATAAGTATTATTATCACAGGATCCAGACCTCCACCTGGGGCTCATACCTACAATATAAGAGACAGATTGACCCCACCACTTTTTGAAAATGATGGGTGCTGGAGCACTTTCAAAAGGTTCCTCCACAGCTTCTCTTAGATCCCTCCCAGCAGGGAACTCCACCAGAGAACTCGAACGGTGGGATGGTAACATTTTTTGTGTCACTTCAGCCACCTCGCCTCCCTCGGATCGCTTGTATTTTGGCTGCGCCTACAACTCCCAGAACGCAGCGCGGGGTGGGGGGGGCGGAACCATCCAGCCCAGCCGCGGCCTGGGATTGGTTGTGAGTGCCGGGCCAATGGGAGGAGGCGGTGTTAGGAGGTTCAGGAGACCGGGTCTGGGAGGGAGGAAGGTGGCAAGATGGTGTTGGAAAGCACTATGGTTTGGTGAGTAACAACCGAGGGGCTTCGCGAGGGGCGGGGGGGGGGGGGGGTCGGGGCGCGTGCAGGCCGGCGGGCAGGGGCGCGGGGCTGGTGGGCGAGGCGCGACCGCGGGCCGGGAGGGGAGGAGCTCGCCGACTCCCTGAGTCATCCCCGGGCCCCGGAAAGGAGCACGGGCCTGGGTACCCCAAGCTAAACCCTCCCTCACCCCGCGGAGAGCCATTGGCCGCGCGGTCCCTGTTGCTGCCTTTTTCTGTCCCAGCCCCCGGTCTGTGTCGGGTCAGAGTCCTGCTGCTCAGACGCGCCGTGATCGCCTTCTGCCCTCCTCTCCCCTCCCCTTCTCCTCCTGGCAGAGGCTCTGGGTCCCTTCCCCGGCCCGTTCACGCGTCTCTAACCCTGTGACCTTCCCCCGTGTGCCGTCCTCAGGAGTGCTGTTGGTAGAGTGCTTTTGTGTGTGTGTGTGTGTGGCAGGATTTAACAGACTTGATCTCACTTAAACCTCACACACGTTGAGTTACAGGTGAGGATACTCAGCCTCAGCAATTTTGAGTGATTTGCCCTCAGTCACACAGCTCAGTTAGTGCTGCAGCCGACGTGTAAAGGTGAGCCAGCCAGTCCCAGGATGGATTGAGTTGGATTAGAAGCCGAGGGCACGCCGAGACCGGTTTGGCTCAGTGGATAGAGCGTCGGCTTGCGGACTGAAAGGTCCCGGGTTCGATTCCGGTCAAGGGCATGTACCTTGGTTGCAGGCACATCCGCAGTAGGGGTGGTGCAAGAGGCAGCTGATCGTTGATTCTCTCTCATCGATGTTTTTAACTCTCTATCCCTCTCTCTTCCTCTCTGTAAAAAAAATCAATAAAATAAAAAAATAAGCCGAGGGCACACTTTTTCGCAAGGTTTCAAGAGTTTCTTCTAAGTGTGAGCATAGAACGTAATGCAGAATAGTACATACACATGCACACATCGTCAGTTGGATGAGACAGGGTTTTCTTTTGGGGGCAGAGGCTAGCGTTGCCAGATAAAATATAGGATGCCCAGTGAAATTAGTATTTCAGATCAATAATACTTATCAATTGCGGGGGCTTGATGGCGGGGATCTCCCCTTTTCTGTGTCCCGCACGGAAAGAGAGAACGAACCGGTTCTAAGTGGAGGTGGCCAGGGATTGAGAAATATTAGAAATAAAGAGAGAAGACATAGAGATAGATTTTAAGCTGGGAGCTGGGAGGGCCACTGACCTCCTCTGCTGAAGAGACAGATTGACCACCTCCTAAGCCACGCAGCACATCAATTTATTATATACTCCAATCCAACAAGGGGTTTCACAGGAAAACACAAAGCGGAGGAGGGCCCAGGTTCCACCCACTCCTTCCTCCTGGACAAACACAAGCCAGGAACTAAGAACATCTCTGCACTCCCATGGCGGGAGTGCCCAATATCCCCGGACCCAGTCAACAATCTAAAGAATATCCAGGTATCTTCCCATTTGGCCCTCTACAATCAGTGTTTAAAAAAAAAAAAAAAAAGTGGATGTAAGTATGTCCCAAATATTGCATGGAACATACTTATAACAAAAAGTTATCGGCTGTTTATCTGAAATTCAGAGTTAGCTGGGAGTTGTGTGTTTTTGTCTGCTAAATCTGGCAGCCTCTGGTCGAGAGCATGTGAAATCCAAAAACCTGTGCGTGTTTTTTTTTGTTTTGTTTTGTTTTGTTTGGTTTTTTTACAAGCTGCATGTTCTTAAGAATGTAGTAAATCTGTCTATAAAATGGAGATACTAGAGCACAGGTAAAATGTAGGTGCTGGTTTTCTGTAACAGGTAAAGCACTATGTAAAAAGTAAAGATGGCCGGGACCGGTTTGGCTCAATGGATAGAGCGTCGGCTTGGGGACTGAAGGGCCCCAGGTTCGATTCCGGTCAAGGGCATGTACCTTGGTTGCTGGCATATCCTCAGTAGGGGGTGTGCAAGAGGCAGCTGATCAATGACTCTCTCATTGATGTTTCTAACTATCTCTCTCCCTTCCTCTCTGTACAAAAATCAATAAAATATATTTTAAAAAAGTAGCCGGGACCGGTTTGGCTCAATGGATAGAGTGTCGGCTTGGGGACTGAAGGGCCCCGGGTTCGATTCCGGTCTAGGGCATGTACCTTGGTTGCGGGCATATCCCCAGTTGGGGGTGTGCAAGAGGCAGCTGGTGGATGACTCTCTCTCATCGATGTTTCTAACTCTCTATCTCTCCCTTCCTCTCTGTACAAAATCAATAGAATATATATTTAAAAAAAGTAAAGATGTTTCTATCTGGTACTTGAGTCCTTAAGAGAGAGGGACCCTGAAGGAATCTAGATGAATGCTGGGAAGAAGAGAGGGCAGAGCCTAAAGCTGCTGAGATATAAATGCCCCAGCCGGAAAGGTAGCCGGCCCAGGTAGGAGACCGCAAATGTCCCATTGAGGGTGGTTGAACTCTGCCCTGTACCCTTCGCGCGGGGACTGTTGGAAAAGTTCTGAGGATGGAGGAGGCAGAGAAGTACACACAGCGGCACTTATTGGTGACCCGGTTTGGTGCCGGAGAAAAGATTTGGGTTATTGGTGGCCTATTGAAGTAGCTCAGGCACAGAATAAGGAGAGCCACCCCTGCTCCTTGTGTGTGTGTGTGTGTGTGTGTGTGTGTGTGTGTGTGTGTGTGTGTGGCAGGGGGGGCTGGGGAGGGCCGCCTCATGCTTTGCTTTCTCACAATTCTCAGGAGCAGTTTATTAAAAATTGCTTCTGTTTGATTCTACTCTCAACCTGCTGAGTCAGATTCCCAGCCAGGGAAGTCCAGGCATGTGTATTCTTTCTTTCTTTTTTTTTTTAATGAAGACTTTTATGGAATAGCTGGATAATGCTATTTTGATATGAATTTTTGATGGGGAAAAATACTGTTGGGCAAAAGGAGTCACAAGAAGCACATATATTATTCCATTCATATAAAGTTCAGAATTGGGGAAACTAAGCCATGTGATTTTTTGGGGATGCATACATAGCTAGATGTTAAGGCATCTGTGTTTTTAACACCACCCAACTGCCATCACCCTCCCAGTGGTTCTGATACAGAGCCAAGTGTGAGAGTTACTGCCAAGTTCTTCTCTGTCCCTCAAGCTCCCTTTTCTTATTTTGACATCTTTCTTCCAGTTTCATCCATTTGTTGGTCTTGCCCACAATCTTTATATTTAGTAACTATTCCATCTGGAGGATCCTCAAAGCCTTCATTGTTTTTTGTAGGTTTTTTAAAAATATATATTTGGACTCATCACTGTACTTTAAGCTGGAGAGACAGTTACTTTCCTGTTGGGGGATAACCAGAACAGTGTACTGGGGGAAAAGGAATAACAATGCATGGTTAGTAGAGTCAGCCCTTGACGTCCTTTATATAGATTGAATTTCCAGTATAAGATTGAGTCTGTGTTTCATGTTTACTGTTAGGTATTGTCCTATAGGGCTGGTATAATACAATAAAACCCATTTTAATATATGCATATATTTCTTTTTATTGATTTTAGAGAGGAATTGAGAGGGAGAGAGAGAGAAACATCAATGATGAGAGAGAATCATTGATTAGCTGCCTCCTGCACACCCCCCACTGGGGATCAAGCCTGTAGCCCTGACCAGGAATTGAACTGGTGACCTCTTGGTTCCTGGGTCAATGCTCAACCTCTGAGTTACACCATGCTGGGCCAATAAAATCCTTTTTACACGTGAAATAAATGGATCTTAGAGAAATTAAGTAACTTCTTCAGGATCACAGAATTAGCAAGTAGCAGAATGGGGACTTGAACCTGTGCCTGAAGAACACTGCCCTTTATTTCTGTTCCTCTTAACCTTCTAGTAGCTACTTAATTACCTCTCTTCATCATTTTTGGTTTGTATATATTACTAGTCAAAGGATACTAAAGAAAATTGACTAGTCCATATTTTGCTCAGCAATAGAAATGAGATGTCTTATCTAGGACAAGGCTTCCTTCATTAACACAGATGGGATCATTGATTGTTAGAGTTCTTTTATTTTTAATTTTATTGATTTCAGAGAGGAAGGGAGAGGGAGAGAGAGAAACATCATTGATGAGAATCATTGATCAGCTGCCTCCTGCACACTCCACACTGGGGATGGAGCCCATAATCCAGGCATATGCTCCTACTGGGAATCGAACTGTGATCTGCTGGTTTGTAGGTTGATGCTCAACCACTGAGCCACTCCATCCAGGTGATTATGTTAGCGTTCTAAGAATTGATGCTGTTCTGGGGCTTGTATAACTGCTTCCCTTATCTGCCTTCTTTTGGTTTCTAGGAAGCTGGAGCTGTAGTTAATATGATCTGGGTTCTGATAGATTATGAAAAGTTGTGGGGGTAGAAGAGGTGACATTCCAAATTAATGAAATGTCATTTTTGCAGATCAGTCCAAGTGTTACACATCAAATCAGAGGACTGCATTGTATTTTCCTGCACTCAGTGCTGCCAAGTGTGTTATTTTATAAGTATTTTTAAGTTGCCTTTCTTTGGAATACTCCCATTTTAATGGCAGACTTCATCCTTGACAATATTCAGTAACACTTAGGCGCACCTTATAAAAAGGCAGTTGTGATCTATCAGTAGATTGCAACCTTTGGTGCTTATCAGAATCACTTGTGGAGTACAGATTTAAATATTTTTTTTCTTGCCGAAACCGGTTTGGCTCAGTGGTAGAGCGTTGGTCTGCGGACTGAAAGGTCCCAGGTTCGGTTCCGGTCAGGGGCATGTACCTTGGTTGCGGGCACATCCCCGGTAGGGGGTGTGCAAGAGGCAGCTGGTCCGTGTTTCTCTCTCATCGAGGTTTCTAGCTCTCTCTCTCTCTCTCCCTTCCTCTCTGTTAAAAATCAATAAAATATATTTTTTAAAAATCAAATAAAAATAAATAAATAAATTTTTCTTCCTTTGGTCATGTCGACTCGGTAAGTTTGAGTTCGGGCGGGGTCATCTATATATTAAAAGAAAAGGCTGGAGGTGATTTTGAGTTCCACAGAGGCTGAAACCAGTTTGGCTCAGTGGTAGAGAGCGTCGGTCAGCGGACTGAAGGGTCCCAGGTTCGATTCCGGTCAGGGGCATGTACGTTGAATTCCACAGAGACTGAGAGCTACTCTTACACCCACAGTTCCTCTCACAGGAGAGGTAGGAAGGAGGGAGGAGGTGGAGTTCCCAGAAACTGGAGAGGATGCCCGGGACCCTATTACAATGTCTTTTCTCTCCTTCACTTCCAATCAATAGCGTGGACAACAGCGAGTACATGCGGAATGGGGACTTCTTACCCACCCGGCTGCAGGCCCAACAGGACGCTGTCAACATAGTCTGTCACTCCAAGACGCGCAGCAACCCCGAGAACAACGTGGGCCTCATCACCCTGGCCAAGTAAGTGGACGGAGGGGGGGGGGGGGAGTTGGCAGGTGGGTGGGGGTTTCCCACAGGTCACCCGCTGTGGTGTCCAGGTTGCTACCCTTTTGTAGATTTCATGAGGCTTTTTTTGCTCATCACCTTCCTAGATTACCTTCTTCACTGTTTATAAATATAAATAGTAACTGGGTTTTAATATTAACCTGGATTTAATACAGTTATGGAGCTCAGTCTCCTGGGGTAAAATTTCACAGTGCTTTTAAAGTTCGTGAAAAGCGATTTGGGGTCAGAGCCCTGTAACCTCCCCAAGTGATTTGCTTTAGGAATTGATCATCTGCAAATGAGTAACCACTCACCCCAGGGCGCATATTATTCGCTGGGAAATGAGTCCGGAAATGGAGACGGTAGGAGAGAATCATAGTAGCATCCAGCAGTTGGGGAGGGGTCTCAGCCCTGCCAGCAAGATAGCATGAGAGAAGGAAGAGGGACACTGGAAGGGAGAGAGCAGGTTTTTACAAAATCAACCACTTATTTTCACATCTAAGCACTGGCTTTCCCCCGTTTAATTGAGGTATAATTGATGTGTAACATTGTATACAGTTAAGGTATACCACATAATGACTTGATAAGTGTATATATAGTTGACCCTTGAACAATATGGATTTGAATTACCTGGGTCTACTTAGATACAGATTTTTTAAAAATAAATACATAGTTGGCTCTTTGTATGCCAAGGATTTTTATCCACTGACTCAGCCAGTTGTGGATCAAAACCAGTATTTTTTATCTTGGTTGGAGGGCCAACTGTATGCATTGTTCTACGCTATTTTTAAATATATATGTATTTTATTGATTTTAGAGAGGAAGGGAGAGTGAGAGAAAGAGAGAGAAACATCAGTGATCAGAGAGAATCATTGATCGGCTGCCTCCTGGGATCGAGCCTGCATCCTGGGCATGTGCCCTTAACCAGAATTGAACCTGTGACCCTTCAGTTCGCAGGCTGACGCTCTACCCACTGAGCCAAACCAGCTAGGACTTGTACGCTATTTTTTTTTCCCTTATTTTTTTTTAAATTAAATTTATATGCTATTTTTTATAAGGGACTTGAGCATCTGCAGATATTGGTATCTGTGAGGTGTCCTGGAACTAACCCACTATGGATACTCAGGGATTAGTTACATTTTGGGGGAGTCAGAAGTTATACATGGATTTTTTCCACTGTGCCCCTCGTTGTTGAAGGGTTAGCTGTACTGTGAATGATTACTACAATAAGATAACATCCACATCTCATATAATTATAACTTGGTATTCCTTGCATTGACAACTTTTAGATGTTGAAAAATAGAGATTACAGTTATTTTCAAGTTCTCTAAAGAAAAGATGGGTTGAACATAGTTTAGAGATACTTGTTTTGACCTGAAATCATGGAAATGCTTTCCCCATATCCCAGTGACTGTGAAGTACTGACCACACTCACCCCTGACACCGGCCGCATCCTGTCCAAGCTTCATACTGTCCAACCCAAGGGCAAGATCACCTTCTGCACTGGCATCCGAGTGGCCCATGTGAGTCCTGGATCCCTCTGATGGTTCCTCCTTGCTCTGAGGTTCTGCCTCGAATGCTGTTCATTTCTCTCCTGGGAGCTTGAGCCAGAACGAGAGCGGGGGAAGAGAGCTTGTCTAGAGAAAGGAGGAGGAAGGAGATGGTGGGATGAATCACAAGAATGGGACAGTGAAGGGACCTGTGTGAGCATGATGGTAGACTTGCAGGACGTAGGAACCATAAGAAAAACCAACCATCGAGTGACAGAGGACAGCTCCGTGATTGCTCTGGCTGACTGAGAACTTCTCTTCCTTTACAAGTTGGCTTTGAAGCACCGACAGGGCAAGAATCACAAGATGCGCATCATCGCCTTTGTGGGGAGCCCCGTGGAGGACAACGAGAAGGATGTGAGTCCGAGTGGCCGCTGGGGATGGGGTGGACAATGTTTGGAACGGGCCTCTCTCAGCCTTCAGAGCCTGGCGGAGGCAGCGGGCTCATCCCCGGGGGAAAGGCGGAAATGCAGGATTCATTGTTTCTACCGGGACCGCGGGGAAGTCAGCAGAGGTCTGTGCGTCTTTGTGAGGTGTATCTCGTGGTGCAGGACGGATTTCCTCATGTGTCTCCCCTTCTTCCCAGCTGGTGAAACTGGCAAAACGCCTCAAGAAGGAGAAAGTGAATGTTGACATTATCAATTTTGGGGAAGAGGTGAGTAAGGACTAGCTGGGGGGCATTGACTTGATTTGGTTGTAGCCTGAGAAGAGCCTTGCCCAGAGGGTGCCTGAGCTGTGGGAGAGTCGCTGCAGAGGAGGACTGAGAAGCCAGGGGATGGACAGCAAGGAGAGTCTCCGTGTTCTCTCCTCCCCAGGAAGTGAACACGGAAAAGCTGACAGCCTTTGTGAACACGTTGAATGGCAAAGATGGAACTGGTTCTCACCTGGTGACAGTGCCCCCTGGGCCCAGCCTCGCTGATGCCCTCATCAGCTCTCCGATTCTGGCTGGCGAAGGCGGTGCCATGCTGGGTCTTGGAGCCAGTGACTTTGAGTTTGGAGTGGATCCCAGTGCTGATCCTGAGCTGGCCCTGGTGAGCAAACGTTGACTTCAGGTAGAACCCAAGGGTCCTCCTACTAACACACCCACACACCACATAGATTCTATAGCGGTGGCCGTCCTACACACCTGCTCATGTCCCCCTGCTGCCTAGTTCTGTCTGATCCCTAAGGGCGACAGTGTCAGACTCTGGTTCGTCTTCCCTGATCACACCCCAGGCTTCTGCCAAGCCCTTGTTCCTGTATCCCTCTCCGGCTTCTCCATGCGCACTAACCAGAGGTGTCCCTCGTGCTCCTTTGCCGCCCCTCCGCTGGCTTCCCCGTGCGAGAGGGAGGAGGGGGGACACCTGACCTCGCCCTGTCCTCCGCCAGGCCCTCCGCGTGTCTATGGAGGAGCAGCGGCAGCGGCAGGAGGAGGAGGCCCGCCGGGCAGCCGCAGCCTCTGCGGCCGAGGCTGGGATCACTCCGCCCGGGACCGACGGTGAGAGCCGGGGGATCTGTGAAGTGTAGGACTGCGGGGTGCCCCATGGGAGTGAGGGGCCGGGCAGTCCTGGACTCTGTGGGCTGAGGGAGTGCTCTGGGGTGGGTCTGTGTGGTCTGTGGCCCCAGTTCCATCCGGCTCTGCCTTCCTCCCCCAGACTCGGACGACGCCCTGCTGAAGATGACCATCGGCCAGCAGGAGTTCAGCCGCACGGGGCTCCCCGACCTGAGCAGCATGACGGAGGAGGAGCAGATCGCCTACGCCATGCAGATGTCCCTGCAGGGCGCAGGTGAGCCAGGCCCGGGCGGCGGCTTTCTGACGGAGAGGTTGGGGTGGGAAATGGAACTGAACAGACTGACCTCTTTTCCTCAGAGTTTGGCCAGGCAGAGCCATCTGAACTTGATGCCAGTTCAGCCATGGACACATCTGAGCCCGCCAAGGTGAGCTCATCCAGCTTAACACCCCCGCGCTCAGATCCTCAGTCTCTGGGCCTGGGACACTTCCTCTTTCTGGGCTTAGGGTGAGCTCAGTGAGGAGCACACAGAAACAAATACATGGGTCAACATCACCCCCCCACCCCCCGCCAATATATTTTATTGATTTTTTACAGAAGAGGAAGGGAGAGGGATAGAGAGCTAGAAACATTGATGAGAAACATCGATCAGCTGCCTCCTGTACACCACCTACTGGGGATGTGCCCGCAGCCAAGGCACATGCCCTTGACCGGAATTGAACCTGGGACCTTTCAGTCCACAGGCCAATGCTCTGTCCACTGAGCCAAACCGGTCAGGGCGGATAAACATTTCTTGGGGGTAACCTTGCTAAGGATGCTAGTGGTCGGGGTTGGAGAAGGGTCCTAGTACTCTGTGATTTTCCTCCCCTGCTGGTGGGAACAGGCCGGACGGTTGTCTAGGATGTTACCTTCCCAGGAGAGGAAACGAAGGTCTAGGAAAGAGAAGGAGGAGGAATGGGTGCGTGGTCGCAGGAAACTTAAAAGTGATTTCTCTCAGGTTTCTCCTGTCTGGGCGGTGACAGGTGTCTGCGTTCATACTATATGTAGATACTGGGTGCTTTCCTGAATCTTCCCTCCTGCCTGCGGCCAGGGTGGCGCCACCCCCAGGCTGGGGAGAGAGGAGCGCGGGCAGCAATGTGCTCCCCATCACCCGCCCCAAGCTGACACTGCCCTTTTTCAGGAGGAGGATGATTACGACGTGATGCAGGACCCTGAATTCCTGCAGAGTGTCCTAGAGAACCTTCCAGGTGTGGACCCCAACAATGAGGCCATTCGCAATGCCATGGGCTCGCTGGCCTCCCAGGCCACCAAGGATGGCAAGAAGGAAAAGAAGGAGGAGGACAAGAAATGAGACTGGAGGGGAGGGTAGCTGAGTTTTCTTGGGGCTGCACAGGGGGGTGGGATATAGGACTAGGTGTGTTAATCACTACAACCTAAATAAAGCTTGGCAACTTTTTCTTTTTTTGCTTCAAATAGCGGTTCTCTGAGTGTGAGAGAGGACTATACGGCATGAGGGAGCGCCTTCCCTGTTGGGTTCTCTGTGTCTTCAATATGAGGTCTCTCAAACCCCTTCCCATCTCCGTCCTCGCACTTCTCCGGCCCTGGGACTGTTTGACTTGGATTAGGAGAAGCTTTGCTGAGAGTCGCTGTGTGAGGCCCTAGGGCCGCAGAGGTGAACAGAAAGCAGTGCTGCCTTTGGGGACCCTGAGTCTAGGGCAGGGCTGGCGCATAAACAAGCCGCTAGACATGCCTGCTGTGTACCCACAGTGGCGCGAGCAAGACATCTGGAGTCAGCGAGAAGAAGGCCAAAATCCTGCAGCCTCTGGGAAGGTCCTGGGGGTATCATTTGAGCCCTCGGGGAACACGGGGATGTTTGCAGTTTGTGCTGATGCTGCAGAGGCACTTTGGACACACTGAGGAGCTCAGGACTGGTTGGGTGAGAGGCCGCGGACAGAGATGGAGAAGCAGGCAGCAGTCAGCATCAAAGATCAGGCTCCTTCAGGCCGGACTCACAAAGGGGTCTGTGAAGCCTCGGCTCACATTTAGAGGAAAGTTTTTGTAGGGTATGAGATAGAATACAGAATTCAAATTACCCCAACCCTATCTCTGAAGCCACTCAAATTTAAGAGCTAGAATATTTCTGTGCCACATACATATGCCTTTTTTTTTTTTTTTTTAAAGTCCTGACCCAAGGATATGCTTTTTGATTTTAGAGGGAAGGAAGAGAAACAGATGTGAGAGAGAACATTGATTGGTTGCCTTCCATACATGCTCTTACGGGGAATTAAACCCACAACTTTTTGGTACACAGGCTGACACTACAACCAACTAAGCCAGTCTGGCCAGGGCCTTCTGCCTTTTTTTTTTTTTTTTTTTTAATATACTTTTTATTGATTTTAGAGAGGAAGAGGGAGTGAGAGATAGAAGCATCAATGTGAGAGAGAATCATTGATGGGCTGCCTCCTGCATGCCCCACACGGGATTGAGCCTGCAACCCGGGCATGTGCCTTGACTGGGAATCGAACTGTGAGCTCCTGGTTCATTTGTCAACACTCAACCACTGAGCCATGCCAGCTGGGCCCGGGTGCTTTCTTGAACCCACCTGTTTACATCCTCCTCAAAGATAACTATTAGCATGAATTTTTATTTTTTTCCTTTCAGTTTTCTCATATATACCTAGCTTCCTGACCAGAATATGTTCAGCTTTGCTTGCTTTTGAGCTTTTTAAAAAAATACTTTTATACTGCAAGACTTTTGGGACTTGCTCTTTTTTTTTTTTTTCTTTTTTTTTAATATATTTTATTGATTTTTTACAGAGAGGAAAGGAGAGGGATAGAGAGTTAGAAACATCGATGAGAGAATCATTGATCAGCTGCCTCTTGCACACCCCCTACTGGGGATGTGCCCACAACTCAGGTACATGCCCTTGATCGGTATCAGACCTGAGACCTTTCAGTCCGCAGGCTGATGCTCTATGCACTGAGCCAAACCGGTTTCGGCGGGACTTGCTCTTAACAACTGTTTCTGGAGTTTCATCAAAGTTGCTTCATTTTTCATGGTGGTAGAGTGTTACATTCTGTGAATAGACTGCAGTCTTTATTTTCCTACTGATGGACATTTGCATTGCAGCCAGTGATTTTTCTGTTATCAGCGGGGTTACAGTGGGGTGTTTTTACATCTGTCCAGGTGCACCTGTGCAAAAGTTTCTTCAGGGCACTTCCCAGGGAATGCCGGTTGTTTTTCAGAGCGGTTGGGTGAACAGTACCCCTCTTCACAGTGTTCCCAGACCTGATGTTAGGTCTGCCTTTCTGCCCGTCTAGTGAGGATAAAAGAATTCATTGTGGTCTTACTCTGTCTGATTTCCCTGATGACTAATGAGATTAAGCTTGATCATCTTTTCATATATTTCTGAAGTTTTTGTATTTCCATTTTTTGTGAAATGTCTCTCCATATTTTTTTTGTCCATTTTCCTTTTGGGTTGTTTTTATATTGATATTCTGAAGGAGTGCTTCATTCTTGATACTAAGTCATTATTGGTTATTTATGTTGCAAATATGTATGTTCTCCCTATCTATGACGTCTCCTTTCACTCTTTAAAATACATTTAATTGTTTTTTTTTGCCGGGACCGGTTTGGCTCAATGGATAGAGCATCGGCTTGGGGACTGAAGGGTCCCGGGTTCGATTCCGGTCAAGGGCATGTACCTTGGTTGCGGGCATATCCCCAGTAGGGGGTATGCAAGAGGCAGCCAATTGATGACTCTCTCTCATCGATGTTTCTAACTCTCTATCTCTCTTCCTTCCTCTCTGTACAAAATCAATAAAATATATTTTAAAAAAAAAATAAAAAAAAAATAAAATAAAATACATTTAATTGTTTTTTTTGTTTTGTTTTGTTTTTAGAAAGAGAGAGGAAGGGGGAAAGAGAGAGAGAAAGAAACATCGATGTGAAAGAGAAACATCCATTGGCTGCCCCCTGCATGCATCCTGACTAGGGGTTAAACCCGAAACCTGGGAGTGTGCACTGAGCAGGAATCAAACCCGCCACCTTTTGGTGTATGGTGTAATATACCAACCAACTGATCCACATCGGCCAGGGCATCTTTCCACTTTTAAAAGTTGTCCTTTATTTATTTTGTTAATACTCACCAGAGGATTTTTTTTTTTCATTGCTTTTCAGAAAGAGTGGGAGGGATGTAGGGAGAGAGGGAGAGAGAGAGCTTGATTGATTGCCTCCTGCACATGGGGGCCAGGGATCGAACCTGCAACCCAGGTATGTGTCCTTGATTGGGAATCAAACCTGAGATCCTTTGGTATGTGGGCTGGTGCTCTGACTACTGAACACACTGGCCAGGGCTGTCCCATTTAAGTATGCATTCATTGGCTGCTGCTTATATGTGCCCTGACCAGGGAACAAACCCACAACCTTGGTGTGTCAGGGTGACACTCTAGCCAACTGAGATAACCAGCCAGGACATCCTAGCATCTTATCACTTAGGAAAAAGGTTTTAGGAGTTCTGTGCCAGGAACCAGGGGCAGAGACCAATATACACCGAGTGGCCAGATTATTATGATCTCTGAACGCATAATCTGGCCACTCAGTGTGTGTGTGTGTGTGTGTGTGTGTGTGTGTATTTTAGAAGCCCAGTGCATGAATTCGTGCATCCGAGGGGATATGGATGATTAGCCGGCCTGCCTATTGGTCAAACTCCTGGTCGAGGGGACAATTTACATGTTAGCCTTTTATTATATAGGGTATATACTGAGTGGCCAGATTATTATGTGCTCAGTGTATATTGTTTCTAGTATCTCTCACTTTCACATAAAATTTCTTATTCCATCTAAATTCGATTTTTGTGTACATTGAGATATGGATCTAATTTCAATTTTTAAATATGGAAAATAAAGTTATAGCACCGTTTATTGTGAAATCTCATCTTTCCCCAGTGATCTGAGCTATTCTGCCTGGGCCAAGGTTCCATGAATTTCTTTTCCAGTATCCCACAGTCAGCCTTAAAGCCTGAACATAAACAAGGTTCCACAAAATAAAGCTAGAGAACTTACTTTGTGCTTACATTGTGTGGATGATCCCGTTTGGACACTATACTTGTGTCTAAGTTTAGGGGGAGACTAATCAAATATTTCTTGAAAGAAGCAGCCCTTCTAGGGCTTGGGAATCTTTCTTAGCTGTTGGTTATGAAGGGAACGGTCACTTCAGCTTTCCTGGGCCTAGGTGTGGTTCCCTGAGCAAAATCATGTTCTGGCAGATCCTGCCCATCAAGTAACGATAGGACCTGTGTCCCAGTCTTCTGGTCCTCTGCATGCCAGCTGGGTGACTTCAGTGTTCTTGAGGGTGACTCAGCCACTGCCTCGGCCTCTTCCAATGTACAGATCATCATCACAGCTCATTCTCTTATACGTGCAACTACACCCTGGATCCTGTCCATCTTAAGAAATGCTCCCTACTGAAGTCAAATAACCACTGGTCCATAGACTCCTAGCCTTACTTTCCCTGTACTTTGCAGCAGTACTGCGAAGAAACCTGTGTATAGTCATGGACCATATAATGACGTTTCTTTCCATGACAGACCACCTATGCCTTAGCAGTCCCATAAGATGGTAAAGGAGCTGGAAAGCTCCAAAGGCCTCTGATGTTGCAGTCATTGTCTTGCAGTGCAATGGCTTACGTGTTTGTGGTGATGCTGGTGTAAACAAGCTTACTGCACTGCCAGTCGTATAAGAGTATATCACATAATTAAATATATAATACTTGATAATAAACAACTATTACTGGTTTAGGTATTTAAATGTTCTTCCAAAATAAATTTAATAAGTACATTACACTGTACTTTTGTTATTTTAGAATGTATTATTTCTATTTACAAAAAAATGCTTGCGCTCTAGCTGGTTTGGCTCAGTGGATAGAGCATTGGCCTGCAGACTGAAGGCTCCCGGGTTTGATTCTGATCAGGGGCACATTCCCTGGTTGTGGACTTGATCCCCAGTGGGGTTGAGCAGCCGATCAATTGATTTTTCTATCTCCCTCTCTCTCTCTGACAATCAATTAAAAAAATATTAAAAAAAACAAACAAAAATTTTTAATATTATAAAAATTTGCTGTAAAACTGACATATTACACCAGCAGCAACCTCATACATCTCATGGTTACCATGTCTCTTGACTGCATCATTTTCTCGTGCATAATTTAATTTTGTATTTGTTTTGTACAGTAAAATGCTTTTTTTATTTAAGTGTTATGTTGATGTCCATACTTAACTAGAAGCTCCTTACTTCCTGAAGTCTCAGTTACCTCTACTTCATAAGGTGTAACAGGATGTTGAAATAGAATTTT